AGGTTCTCTCACTAAAAACTGGTTGAGAAAATTTTTTTTTAATTACCACAGTATAATTTAAATTTCACCTAATTCTCACAGCCAGTGCCTTCAGGTATTTCCCAATAATCTCCCATGTATCTAAATGCATGACATTTTTGTGTTGTAACCAGATGTAAAGACCCAATATTTTAATATTGAATATACCCCCTGTAAATCTTATAATAAATTATTACTACATACATACAGTATATTTAAATCTTCAAAATTTCGTTCATATTTATTACAAAATAAGATTAAAGAAAGAATGTATACTATTCTTAGTACAAAAATATATGAACCAATAAAATATATTAATTTAAAACAGAATGAAATGAAAACAATTAATGATTAACCTACCGTATTGACTTTGGGAATTTCTCCAACAGCCCACACTTCCAACACATCAACGGTAAACTGCTCTGTAGCTGACAGCTGTGGGCTATCATATGTTGTACATTTAGGATGAGATTTGCTGTGACCTTTACCAAAATCCTGGTCAAGCCAGAAACCAAAGTAGCCAAACTGACCTCCCATACCCTAAATAAAAACATAAATAAAATAAATTTACAAACAGAATAAGGTTTTTTTTTTTAATCAAGTTTAAACTTAACCAACTATATTTATTATTATAGGAGGCACTTCCAAGACTACTGTAGATTGTAGAACTGTACTGTATCTAATTATGAGGGTGATACCAAGTTTTCATATTTACAAGCTATCTACGAAGAAGGTAGGGGAACTTTCGAGGCAGTTTTAGTGTGGCTGAGCATTCTCCTTTTATTTAAATGTGAAAAAATAATAGTTGATTATTTATAGAAATAAATGGCAAAGTATGTCACTTTAAACATTAACAACCAATTTATGGTTTTATCACAGCCATCGATATGGTTCTTCACTAATTTTGTGTTTTTTGCGTAAAGTTCAGCGGATGTAATATTTCTATTTAGCAACCCCCACCCCCTTTCAAAGTCCTGGATATGCCGCCACTGTATGAAGTATCTAATTTGAGGATAAGAGGTACTTTAATAGACTACTTGGCAGTCTCTATGATGAGGAAGGTAGGAGTCACTTCTAAAACTATTGAGCAGTACAGTAACTATCTGAGGATGACAAAAGGTACTTCCAGTACCATTAGGCCGCAGACTCTTATTTGAAGATGATAAGAGGTACTTACAAGACCATTGGGCAGTGTCTCTTGATCCATATTCAAGTACATGTAATGATCGTTGATACTTGAGCTTTCAAATATGGCCATTGACGGTGACAATGTAAACAAAAAACACTGACTGCCACCTATGAAAACAAATACACAAGGCTCTTTTAGTAAGCATTAGTGTATACAATTATAGAAAATTGAAAGATAAATATTATATAAATATTTAAATATCAAATTATTACTTTTCACATACCGTTGCTCACACCATTAAGAAGCAAAATTTAGTTTGTGGTTGTTCATGAAACAAAAAACATTTTCTTTATCACTCGCAGTTATGCTCTACAATTAATGTGCTGAGATTTGAAACTTTGTATAGGTAGATGAAACATACCATAAGTTGGTTTATTTGGACTTACATATATTGTTAATAAATAACCAGCTGTAAAACATGTATGTTAGGCGAGACTTCTTTTATACCTTGTTTTAGCAAATCTGCCGACAGCCAATAAAGGTGATTGACTTTTTTATTATGCCCCTGAAACCTCCAAAAATAAGATATTTAAATTTCTTCCTTAATTATATGAGTTTTTAAGCATTTATCAATCTAATTTACTACACCTGTCTCTTATACACATCTAGATGTGTATAAGAGACAGACCCATAACTACATCCCTGCATGTACGATGGACATCCTTCCCCCCCCCCCCCAACCCCCTAAGTTTCACTATAATGAAAAATAGTATTAATTTTCTCAAAACATAATATTATTGACCCATTTTAAATTAATGCATGGACTGGTCTAATTTACAAATAATGATGGTTTATACATGTGATAGGATATACTATGGTCATGAGTGGAAAGATAGCACATTCTATTCTATAAAACTTGGTTATAATTTGCTTTCACACTTAATTAATTACCCTTCTCTTCCAGCATATCACTTGTACTGTTACACGGTTGCAGCTGTACAAAACTAAGGGTGGTCATAGACATTTTAAGGGTGGGTGGGTGATAACATTGGTTTAAAACTGAAATAATAAGAGTGAATATTAAGGATGGAAAAGTGGGTTAATAAGAGAGGGTGAAGGCCCATGAAATTAGCTTTTAACTCAGTGGACAACTTAAGATACTAGAAACACAAGATAGAGTTCTCCACAGAAAAAAACTGAAGTTCCACCGAACCTTGTACGGCTGGATCTAAAAAAGTTCTGCCACCGTTACATAACTGTGAATACATAACCTCCTTTTGTGGAGGTTGAAATCGTTGCCATTATCAGTAAGGTACAAATGAGTAGGTATAAATAAATCAAAACAATAAAATGACAGACACAAAAGCGCAGATTCGTATGGCCGGACTCTGATTAGTGATAAAATTTTCATCCATTACGGCGCCGCGTGTGTCTGGTTATACTTAGCAACAGAAGGGCGGCCTGTACGTCTAGACCAAGTATAGAAAACTTGTGCATTATAAAAGAAGAAGGGCGCTGCGTACGTCTGGACCAATTTCCGCCTCAATTTTGCTATGCAAGTGCTCTATCTTGTATTTCTAGTGTCCATGGCGCTGCCAACCCCCACACGCCATAAATATTTCCCTGCTCTTATGAAAATGAATGAATAACCCATTACCATGAGCAGTGTGATTCACAATTAGGGGTTTGCTATGACCAAATCCCTTCTTTTCAATCAAATCCCCTCTAATGAACTGAACCACCCCTGCCTTTGCCTTGAATATGGACAGAATGATGAAGTTCACTATACTACCATGTTTCTGCTTCAAACGACGTTTTCCCAAGGACCCTCACCACACCTCTTTCCCTGGTCCACATTAGGAGTTACCCATTTTAAGGAATCTTAATCAGGCCTGGGCATAAAACATCTTGATTCTCACCTTAACTGCACTGTGTTGTATCAAGAGGCAATAGTGCATGATATCTGTTAGTATATTCTGTATCAATGGTTTATTCAGCAACCAATTGCATAAATCAATTGCACTTTCAATGTCGCCATCTAAAAACAAGACAAAGATGATTGTTGTCAACCTGAAATACATTATTATATATTTAAAATTTAACTTTTGGTTTTGAGTGCACATGTGTATGTCAAAGGTCAAGGCATAGAAACAATTATAGAGTAGTTATACATCCCTTTCATGGTTTACATAATATGCATTGATATCATAGCTTTTTGTTTTATATATTAATTTATACTCCAGGACTAATAACTAGCTACTACAATCATTGTGTTTTTCTCCCTGCCAGCTGTGGACATTAGCTTTCATTTTAATACTAATTACAGTTGATCTTTGTGGCATATACTATAGAAATCTGTTGAATAAAATGCTGTATAATATATACAGGCCTTGAACTCCATAAAATTATATGCATTTGGAACTACAGGAAGGCTTTATGTAACAACAATTTTCACCTTGAAGATCTTGCATCATCATGTCCACAAAAACAGTTATTGCTGCAGTATCTGCTGCCTTCCAGTTCACTTGTGTGCTTCTAAGAATGGCATCATAGCAACCTAGAAACACATGAAGTACCTACAGCATCCAAAAAAATTGAATGAAACAATCAATCTTTCAAAAATATTCTTTCCATTGTGTGAATAAAAAGAAAAACATTTATTATATTTTTTATAACACACCTAGAATAGATTCTTGTCATTTGACATTTTATGAAAAAAAAATCTATCTTTTTTCTGAATGGAGATTCTTGTCATTTGATGTTTTATGAAAAAAATCTACCCTTTTCCTAAAGTATTGTATCATAGGTGCCGTGCAATGGAGTGAAACAGATGGAAATAAAATGCACGGATGGAAGTATAAATGCACGGTGGAACTAAATTTCCATGAGTAACAAAATGTGGTAAACAACCAATGTCACATGATACAAAATCCACCAATCAAATGATGGATGATCTATTAAGTGTGTTATAATGTTTAATATTAGATGAAAAAATAAAGTAACTTTTATAAAAAAGAATGTGTAATCTATACAATAATGAAGCTAAATGAAATTTTTTTGAAAAGGAACAATGTTTCTCTATTAATCTCAACCATTTCTAAGAATCTATATTCAACTGAGCAGTGAGAAACTTCCTGTCGGTTTACAGAAACAAGAATGTTTTTGTTTTATAATTTGGAAAGCATTGTTCGGAAAATTTTCCAGCCATGTTATTCAGTTTTACTGAAAACAAGTTTTCACAAGCAGTTTATGCTGGTTTCAATCCCTGTCGCCATGCATTTTTCACTTGTGCCCTTGAGCAAGGCACTTTAAAGTGAATTATTTCTCCCGAACTTGGAGTATAAGTGGGTACCAGTGGCAGCGCTACGGGGGAGTTAGGTAGCTACAGACCAGCCACCCCCCCCCCTTCATCCCTCATTGGGTAGAAAACCAAAATTCGTCAGGGACAAAAACAAATTAATTATTTTCTACATATTAATAGCCTCTAAAATTGATTAAAGAAGATTTTGAAACCCCTAAATTGTCATTTCTTGGGGGACTCTTTTCCCCCTGAACCACATTACAAAGATTTTGAGCGACACCCGACCACGCCACTTTGTTCTCTTTGGGGACATCAGTCGAGGACCTTGGTCCCCGCCCTTGGGAAAATCCTGGAACTGCCCCCCCCCCCTGATGGGTAACTGGTAGGGTTGAATGCCAAATGGGCTGTTTACAGTAGCTGTTGTAACATTATGGAATACTCCCAAAGGCAGATGACAGGGATGTATTTATGGTGGAAAAACCACTAAGCCTTGAAGTTTTCCACCCAGTCTAAAGCTAATTTAATGGCCTGGCCACCCAACTTTATTAGCCCGCTTGCCCATCCATAAATCCACTCTTATTATTAGAGTTTACCAACATGTTTTTTTTTTGTTTTTTTTAGGTTTTTTAACAATATTTATGGAGAGTAAACCTTCCAAGCATATCCTAGATGGTAGGCTGATTTTCAGGGGCCATAGCATGACGTGCTATGTAAGTCTACCAATATTTATCATGTGAATCATTGTATACAGTAGGCTTATCTTTAATCTTTTGTATAAATATATTAACTCAACATTAATGTACCTCTCTAAAGGAACTTAGGGTGAAGGTCCTGTCTTCTTCAACGACCAATGTGTACAAAACATGAACTTGTTGCTCAACCATTCCTTTAGTCAGATCTGCTACTGCGATTATAAAGTCCTCACTGGAAACACTCTGAGATTCACCATTTTTACACAGGATCGAAAATAATTTACTTGTAATTTTGTCTGGTACTCTGCCAGCAATATATCGCTGCGGATAATTAATTAAATAATCGAACAAACATTATTTAAAAAAAAAAAATTTCTGCCACCGACCATGAAAAATGTTATCTGAACAATATATAACCCAACAGTATATTTTTTTTTATTATTATTTTCCCCAAAATGCTTCAGGGACATTCATAATGCCTCCAACCGCCTGTCGAACACTTTTTCCAGCCCTGATGAAGAAACCAACCATAACACAACATAAAAAAAACCAAAATATACTATTATTTAATTCCAATTTACTAGTTTACGATTCAACATTTATTTGCTACACATCCAAGTAATTGCAATTGTGTTTTAATTGAAAAGTATAACAGAAAAGCTTGTATTATATAAGGTCTAATGAAAGAGTAATGAAATCATTGAATAGTATTCCAAACAAAACTAGTAACTGTCTTATTTCATGACTGAATAAAATTAATTAACTTGCCAATTATTGAATTAATTAAAAACTATTAATTATGAAATTTTGTTTAACCTACCGTACTACAATTACTTATTTTTACCGATCAACAGTGAATCATTGCTAATAATAGGCTGGTATTGTATTGATCCATGCACAAAGTACCAAAAATATCATTAAAAAAAGTCATTTTTTAAATTAACTTGCCTACCTTGTAATATAAATACTATCGACTTAAAGTGATGCTTACCATCACTTTACAGCGAAAAATATGAGAAACACTCCAAGTCACTAGATGTGTTTTATTATTTTTATTATAATTATCCCAGTTTAAAAATCAGGGTACAATTCTTTTTAGTATAGTAGTAATTCATGTTATGCAAAATGAGCAAGCTGATTTAAACATACCTTTTAATATTTTTTGTCATTTTCATTCATCAAGGGACAATACATTTTTAAAAGTTAAAAAAAAATCAGCATTGAGGCCACAAAAGAAAAATAGTTTCTTGATTTATTCTTTACCTTCAAATCTTGCTCATGAAATGCTGTCTTTTCAGTTTCGGAATTTCCACTCGTGCTACAAATTCTCTGAAAGACAAGCTTTATCTCACTTAATTCCTCGGCCGAAAATAGGGAAATGGCCTGTTCGTGCCTGGATTTAGTTTCTGTTCTAGGAAAGCCACTCTTAGATCTACCAGCACCCATCTTTATCTGAAAAAGGAGAAAAAAGAAATCTAGGCTATAACAACTCCCTGATCTAGGCCAAATTGTCGAAACCCAGTTTGCCGAATCTACTATTTGCCGAATCTACTATTTGCCGAAACCCAGATTGACACTATAATATTAACAACTCCCTGGTTTGACGAATGCCAGTCCGACTCAAAAACCATAAATTCCAGTTTGCAAGAAACCCTGTTGCCAGTTGGCCCAAAGTCAATCAAAAGCAGTCAATCACTGGCCAATGTGTCTGCTAGCATTCAAGGGGCTACGTCGAAGCTCATATCTTGCTTGGGTGTACGTGTGTACTAGGCTAGGCCTACAGGCCATTACTCCAGACCTACGCCTACTAGGCCTGGGCCCCTTAGCCTGCCTAGGCCAAAATGGTGTTGAACCCGTGGCTACATAGACGGGTAAATTGGGAACAAACAAATAAATACAGACCAGCCCTATTTCAGCAACTTCCGGATGCTTTGCGTCTACTGATTTATAAAGGTCTATCAATAATATTTAAGTGTCAGATTGGCATTGCAATGAACTTTCCTACCTTGCTTTTACAGCCATAACGTGAAGTCCGATAGGCCTTTTTCACGAACCGGTAGACATCATGAAGTGATGACAAACATTGCGAATCAGCGGTGCGTAACCAACAGAAATAAGATAAGCTTTTGGGCTGATTTGTTGACATCATGTTATTTAAAAAATCATAACTCTATAACGGGGTCGTATCCAAAATTTTTTCCAGCAAAATGTTCTTAAAAGACTAGTCTGCACCACTATATGATTGAAAAAAAATGATTTACTATACTATACCTAACTTGTACTTATAATAAGAGAAATCTGTATATTATCGCTACTTGGAACAGTAACAACACGAAAGTCTTATGCTACTGCACTGTAATGCATAGGCCTATATTAATACAATACTAAGATAGGCATTTTCTTTTTCCATCTTGATTTCAGAGATCAAAAACATTTTTCAGTTTTTTTTTTCAATCATATAGTGGTGTAGACTAGTCTTTTAAGAACATTTTGTTGGAAAAAATTTTTGGATACGACCCCCCGTTATGGAGTTACGATTTTTTAAATAACACGATGTCAGAAAATCAGCCCAAAAGCTTATCCTATTTCTGTTGGTTACGCACCGCTGATTCACAATGTTTGTCATCACTTCAAGATGTCTACCGATTCGTGAAAAAGGCCAGCACTGAGTCAGTTGTTCAGCTCTCATGGCTCAGTTTCATGGTGCTATAAAAGAATATCTATACTATATTCTTCGGTGCTATTATACGATCTTTGGTCTCGCATTCAAATCGGAAGTGCAATAATGACACGCGCGTCAAAATCGGAAGTGCAGAAAACGACACGCGCGCAATCATTTCCGACGCACAGCTTCCATGGAAACCTGCAACAGACTCTTGGATTGTGGCAAGAACCTGCAACATGTCTCTTTATTATACAGTACTGTATGCAAATGTTTGGTTTTTTTTATTCCCGCATTAATATTTACCAAATTTTTGACGCGGGCGGGAGTGATAATCTAACAATTTCTATATATATTTTTGAGATGAGTTTGTTCCCTACAAAGCTTATAGGAAAATTTATTTATTTAGGTAAATTGATTTCATAAGAATGATAATGGAAAAATTAATTTTAGGTTTTCTTTGTCTAAAAGGAAGTTTGCCCTCTTGAATTTTTTTTATAGCTATATAAGACTATGCGATATACACACAGGTAACATGCCAATATGGGGTTATGCAGGTACATACTGGTAGCATATGGGTTTGCCCAGAGCCCCTTGGTTTCTGCAGCCAAGGGCCCAAGTGGTTTAGCCCACATAACCCAGGTAGAACCCATATGGTGTCCCATATTGGTGTCATGTAATAATACGAGGCCCATATTTTCTCAACCATATCATTATGGATGTCATATGGGTTTGCCATGTGGCCCCTGTTATTATCAAATGTAGTATCCTACCATATTACCCAGTTAGAACAGCTATCCATGCTTCGCCAGTGGCATAACGCCTAACCCTTAGGGGCCCCTAGGTCCCTACCCATATGATCCTCACTCTTTAGTACCCTGATCCAAAAGAGCTTTATTGTTGGGAGGGGTGTCGGCAAGAAAATAATATCTTATTGAGGAACACTGCTTTGGAAAAGCTTTTTTACCATCTCAGAGTGCCATTTCAGAGCATCTAGAAACTAGGGCCTATTCTTAAAATTTGCTCCCCCTCAGCCCCAACCATGGTGAGGCTGAGGTGGATGTGAATGTGGACTACCTATTCACCAGCCCCCCATCCCCCGTCAGAAAATTTCTGGATCCGCCCCTGTTAAGGTGGATTAGCCAGACCATGGGTCACAAATGGTGCATGTACTGGATTTCAATTAGAAACTATCTATATGGCAAGGGGATGGGGAGGGGGAAAAGGGCAGGAGGACCAATGTGAATTTTCATCTGACGGTATGCGTAATTAATTTATTTTCGCAGGCCACAACAAATTGCTGTTGGTCTGCACATTGCATGTATACACTTCCTATCTTACAACACAAACAGTTCTAAGATATATTTTCTGAGGGGCTAAGATGTCCGACAGGGGGACTTGAGTTTGTAGGCTTGAGCTGGGAGAGGGGTTTGACAGGGGGTCCCCTCCAAATGAGATTTTTGTAAGAATAGGAAAACTCTGGATGGCTGGACATGGCACTCTCGAACTGTGACAGACGTGTTGGCTTGGTGTGGTCTTATTTTAATATTTTTTATGTTCTGACTGCCCGACAATCTCTGTCCGATGGGGCTTGACCTGACCGGTGGGGGGGGGGCTTTATCCCTCCCCCAACTGGCACTGCCACTGAACAAAAACTCAAGTAAATAAAATTAAAAATGAATATCAATTATACACTAGTAGTATTTATCCACTTCATTTATTCCACTATTCCCGATGACTCAGAAACTTAAATTATTACAAGATGAAAAATAAAGACATACAGTTATTATATAAATAATTATATAAATAAATAAATAAATAATTTACACCTTATCTACACAAAATAGTGTTAATATTAGTATCATTTAGTATACCAACCAGCCTAAAATCATCAAGCAAAATTAAAAAATTTAGGATTGCAGAATCAACCCACTCGAACCATCAAATTTATACAGTTTTCTACTGCTTCAAATACACTTCAAAAACAGTAAGACCCTACGGTAATCTATATTATTAACAGACTTAATATCTTGCTATTCTAAATTTAAGCTTGGACAATTTGCATATAAACTGCAGAGTATTCCAAATATTTTGGATAAAAAGAGCATCTATTCTCATAGTTATAAAAAAAAAAGTAGTTCCATATTTATTACCGAACAAAGGAGACTGAGCCGTTAAGCCATCCTACCAAAGTCTCAGCATTGTGTATAAGGGTGGACATGTTTCTCTCTACGCCACTTTTTTTCTCCTCAATAGTGTACTGGGTACGCATTTATACCACTGGGTGGCAAGAGACAAACATAGGTAAAGTGCCTTGTCCACGAACACAAGCGAAATGCACAGCGAAGGTTCAAACGCGACCTCGAGAGACCAAATCGCAACTGCTGCGCCAACCGCTCATAATTATATCAAATACACATCCATGTTGAATTGCTTCCACAGTTATGTTATTTATCATATTGCCAATACAAACATTTTACATATAATTCAATATTGCATAATATCAGTATTATACAGTTCACACAACAAACGTGTTTGCCAATGAAATATCATTATCAGTATAATTTTAGTATTCTACTATATCAATCACATGGCGTAAAATTATTATTTTTTGTTTTATATATAAGGTACTTTACTCTTCATGCTGAAAATGACTATCAATTTAATCACATTTCAGGTAATTACAATTCATGATTACCTTTAATGCTATCAAAATCATTATATTTAGTTCCCATTTACCTTGGTAACTTTCATAAACAATTACACCCAATCCAATAACATAATTTTATTCTTTCACATGTTTCTCTCTTAACTACTGGTGTTTCATTATTTGCATTGTTGCTCTTTTCCACTGTAACAGCTTATTTAGTTTTGTAATGCTTTATAAAGTATTACAAATATATATATATATATATATTTTTTTTTTTAACTTAGAAGATAACAGTACTAACACAAGCAAAAAAAAAACCCCGTAAATAAATACTAATAAATAATAACATAATCTAAGGAAGAATAAATATATATGTTCAATTACATAAATGTTGGATACTGCTTAAAAGTAAGTACTACACAAGGTGCAATTTATTTAACTTGTTCCTGCTGCTAAATGCAAATTGAAATAAAAATATAAAAAATAACAATTCTGATCCAAATGAGCTTCAGGTTTTCTTATTACAACTATTGTCAGTCAAGCATTGCAACTGCCATATGCACGGCAAATTAATTTTGTTCTTCTACAGAATCAAATGCATTGCACTCAAGTATTCCTAACTATTACAATAACTTTACAATAAGCTAAAGGTTAATCTTGGTTACGCTTCATTAAACAATGACCTGGGCCACAGGTCATCATCCCATCAGCAACAACTCCAGACATAAGAACAAGTACAGCAATGGTAAATAAAACCAATCTTTATACATTCAATTATTGATACTATAATGTAATGTTCATAATGATATATAATTTAACAATTTTTCTCTTGTTAGGATCATTCAAATATCATTTCAAATATCTTGGTATCTTTTATTGAACACAAATGTCATCGCAGTTAACAAAAAATAAAATGTATGCAACTGAAATGGGACATTAATTTATAAACATGATAATATAATAATAATAAAAAAAACTACTTAAAAACAACCACTGCAATAATAGAGTAGACAACTACAACAAATATATCATTTTGGATTAGTCTTTCAACCACATATTTCTTAGATATTTTATACCACTAATTAATTTTACTCAACCCAAAACAACTATCAAAATGTCTCCATCAACAATTTTACAAGAAAAATTCTTAGCCGCAAAAAATGATGATAGTTTTTTGATATATATTTGTATATTTTAAATAGTTGAAAAGAAATATACTCAATCTCTTAACATCTGTACTTAAGACATTTCATTATTTATTTATTTTTAACAAACTCAAATAACTTAACTATTGAAAATGGTGCATTATCATCTAAAATGGCAGGGAATGCAAATTCTATTACTGAATTTAACATATTGCACCCAATACAATGAGAATATACTCTAGATTGTATTGGCGTTATTAAATATAATAATATAGCTTATCTGTATTTGTTGTATGTATTCGCAATCTATTTTAGGCTATATAATGTGCATAGATTAAGATAATACTTATTTAAAAATAGGCAAACACTGAATGCTCTCGACACGCTTACGCTTAAATACATGCATGCATTCTCCTACACACGTGGACGTACACTCAATGTGGAAATACTCGGCCAATTTTCTCGACCTCAATACACTTTAGAACCTTCTATCAACCAGCTCAATCAACAGTCAGCAACTCACATCTGACCAACAACGTCTACGATAATGTGCTTGTATTCGGCCACATAAAATTAATTTTTAGTTTCACGTCCAGGGTTTGAAATTACTTTTTGGTGACGGTATTTACTTTTTGCTATTTACTATCCTATTATACTAGTGGTAAACAGGCTGGTAAATGAAAAAAAATTTGGTGTTTTTTTTTTTTTTTTATAAAAGTAAAATAAACCTTTGTAATTTACTCTGCCATTTACGTTTCCACATCATCTTATGATTTCACAACAATCTTTCAAATCATCAATATTTTCCATGGAAAAATATATATTTTTTTGTAAAATAGAAAATAGTAAATTTTATCATGAGGCTCAAAAATTTGATGAAGGTGGGGACGTGAATCTAGCAATTAAATTTATTTGGCCACGCCCATTCTATTAACACAGGTAATCTAATCTACTCTACAGATGTAGTTATAACAGTAAATAATAACAATATATATATACCAAAAAAAAATCAAAGATGATTGGATTGACATGTCAGGACATATTAAATATTGTACAAGCTGCAATCATCGTTGGATTTCATTCATCACTATTACTGTTTGTGTCAACAATTCGTCGCTCACCCCACAAACTGACACAATCAAAGCAATTCACGGTACTTTGTAATATCAAATTCATTTTTCTTCACACATAGTTGTAGGGGTCGGCTAAAGCCTCAGTCAGGGTCCCAGAATAGAAATTCGTATGTCTTTGTATGTCTCATAATTGACCACAATATTAGGATTGGCAATAAAAAATAACGTTATCTGGATCTATAGGCAAGTTAATATTTTTGGTTTGGCGCCACCACTGGTCAGAGACTTGTTATCTTACTACCAAAAAGTCCACAACAACAACATTGCATACTTCACACGTTTTTCTTTGTTTTTACAAATTAACACAAATTACTTTGTGTTGTTTATGGTATGAACGACTAAATTACCAACTCATAAGCCTGCATCAATAACTGCACAATAAACTTTTAAGTTATCTACAAAATTAGTTATTTTTGGTTTTATATATTTTCATATTCAAATTTATACGATCCTTAAACTATAAACTGGGTTCTTACTACTACCAAAACTCAGTAAAAGAGAATGCCTGTCTCCCTCTAATTAAAGATCACTCAAATTAAAGATGACCCCCAATTAAAGACCACTTTTCTGTGGTCAAAAATTAACAGATGGCTTTTATCTTTATTATTGTAATAGAGACCAAAGCTGCAAAAGATCGTAGAAATCCTGGTCCCAAAATTGGTAATTAATTTGAGGGAGACCTAAATGTTGTTGTTCACCTCTGAAGGAATCACCAAAACCTTTGGAATTTTTTAATTAAGGAATGAGAAGTTTTAATCTTTCTTGGTGTTCAGATCAGGTTGCGTACCAAACGGCAAGTCCCACAATGGACTCGATATTCCATAACCTGCAAAAAACATGAATATTATTAAAATATTTATGTCATATTTAAAGCAATGATGAGGTGCAACAGATGGTGGACATATGCAGGACAAGCGTTACTGTCAATGGAAAGGTAATCAAATTGGAATAAAGAAAAGATCTCTTAATATTCCACATGAGAATAAACTAAATATGTCAACATTATTATTATTATTATTATTATTATTACTATTATTAATATTATTATTATTATTATTATTATTATTATTATTATTATTATTATTATTATTATTATTATGATGTTACTAAAACCTACCTGAGGGACTTTAAGGGGAACTTAGACAATGGAGAAATTAGAGAACAATTAAAAAACGGCGTTAAGATATTCCACTAAGTCTGACTTAGCGCATATTATTATTATTATTGTTTTATTATTATTATTATTATTATTATTATTATTATTATTATTATTATTATTTCCAAGTTATCAGTGTATGGATTACAAATAGTACAACCTGTGATTACAACAAAACATCAAAATAAAAATATATTTTAACTGTGTTTCATTCTATATTTAAAAAGATTTTATTTTTGTACCTTGCTACGTACTAATAATGATTATTTCATATAAAAATAAATTGTATATTTGGCCTGAAAAAAATCTGAAGAATACAAAATTAATTAATCTTTATATTTTCCAATTTTTTATAGCTAGGGCCAAAAGTTATTGCCACACGTGACCTCTCAACTACAAGTACCCAGTAAAACGTTACTCGTCTGAATCGGCCCCATGTGCTTGTGCTCAATATATTTATTACAAATATAAAGCTTACCAAATGCATTGTTTCTAAGTGGTCAGTGGCCTTGAAATCACAGACCAACCAATGGGAGCAATTAATTTGTTGGCCAATCTTTAACAATGTTTACTTTTCCTTCAATAATGGTGGGGGGGGGGGGAAGAGAACTGGTAAAAGAAAATTATCTGGGAGGAAAATTCCCCCTTTTGCCCCTGTAGCACTGCCACTGTGATTTAGGAATGTAGATGAAATGAATAATATTAATGAATGACACTAACCTTTGTTATTGTCCTCAAAATGATGGTTTATGTGGTAAGCTTTCAACATTTTAAAATACGATAACGATGGCTTTCCATAATGTAAATAATAATGTATTAGATCATAACAGACATAACCAAACACGGTACCAGCAAACAGAGCCTGAGCTTCAGCCACCGGCAGTACACAGGAAATTAAAAGATGAAAACACAACGCAAGCAAAGATGCTGGAACGGGAGGGAATACAAGACGACCTGGGTCAAATGGAACCTGTGGAAAGACAAGAAACGCTCTAAACTTACTGTGGATATGATGATAGAATTCTCACGATTGGTACTTCCATTAGCAGGCTACACATGTACAGATCATCCATGTGTAGTCTGCTCATAAGTTTATCGTATATACAGTACTCGTGTATTGTGCGAACCACATATAAGACGACCCCCAAGTTTGGGACGATTTTTGTGTGTCAGGCATATTAGACAACCCCCTCGTTTCATCGTCAGAATTTATGCTTTTTATGGCATTGATACTGCATCTAGATGGTTAAAACGGAACCAAATGCAAGGCTAATTTTCCAAATAATACCATTTTATGTGTTTTGAACTGTTCATCAAAAATCATCCCCGTACTTAAAATTGTCTTCATTCATACTAACATTTATTAGCTTCATTGCACAGTACAGTAGTAAATTCGCGTGTACGGATGATCTGCACATAAGAGGAACATGACAGATAGAGGGTCTATACCACCTCAGGCCTAATTGTTGGGGCTGAGGCAAGAAAATTAACGATTATGTTACCTCTAGAATGCTGGAAATGGTACTCTCCATGACAACAGTTTCAGAATAATATGTGAGTAGCAAATATCATTGATATGCAGAAAATTTTAAAAATTTAGTGGCAAAACTGGGGGGAGGGGATCCCCATTTCCCCTACTGGATCTGCCCCTGTCTAGGGGATGCTCTCCCTCCTATACCCCCCACTGAAAATGTCTGAAGCAAAAAAATCATGAAAGTAGTTAAAAATAACCTCATATCACCTTATTTGGCAACATAGCTCCCTCTCACTTAATCACTGAGCCCCCATTACACCTCCACGACCCCCCGCCAATCAGCTCCCCGCCCCAGTTTTAAGACTACTAGATACGCCACAGAGAAGTTTACTCTACCTTGTGATGTTGCCCGTGAAGCAAGAAATGAAATGTTATTGACATAGGGTACTTCGGTGATGGTTCTAAATGAAATAAAAATCTATGGAGCAGATACTCTAGAATTGTCCACAACAGAATACCAGCAAAGAAATGGAAGAAAAATGTCTCCAGCACTTCGGAATCTGTGGAGGGAAAAAGAATATCTCCATAAGATGAGCAATGAGGATTGGATAACTGTGCGAAGGAACGAACAAATGGATAACTGCATAATAAATTAATGAATTCTATCATGAATGAATGGAGGGATGAATGTATATTGTTCACAGGTAAAGTATTAATATATTATTTTATGGATCATGTTCCATAATACTTTTAGATAATGATATATATGCGGGCGCCTATATATTAATTTTTAATTCACAGTATAAACAACAATACTTGTCGCTATTAATACTTCAGTAGGTTCTCATTAGCATTTTGCTAAATATTTTATTATTATTCCACAAAAATGCAAATTTAATCAAGTATTATTCATATATTGTGATTGAACCAAAAGCTATTGTACTGAAATACTAATAAATTCTGGTTTCTGTCCACTGTTCTTCATATGGTCACCAAGTCATTATTCCTTCTTTCGATAACGACAAATTATGTCTAGAAGAGTTTGAACAATGAGCTGAGCAGTGACATTCTAGGAGGTTCAGGAAAAGGGGATTCCCCTCCAAAATAAGCTCACATTACACCCCACAGTTCCCTCTCCACCCCCCACCCTATTGAAATATCCACAAAAAAAAAATCAGTCAAATAGTTAACAATTACCTTATTTTGCGACCTGGTGCCCCTCACTATAATCATTGATCCCTACTCCACCATGGGTCCGTCACCAGCCCCACATCCCCCTATCCATTTCAGGACTAAAAGATATGCCATTGTAAACTGAGAAACCATTAAAACAAATACCTGTTTTTTCTGGTGTGACTTCCTTGAAGAATCTTAGGCTTCTGAATGACGTAAGTAACACCACTGGTATCCAAACAATCGGGATTATGAACCAGGGAGTCTTGGACAAATATTCAAAAAGTTCAGACTTGAAGAGACGCAGAGGTTTATCCACTGGCGTATGAACCCAGTTATTGTATTTGGAGCCGAGTCGACTCACTTGCCAGAGTATGGGTTGGTTCCAATCAATAAGATTCTGGTGAAAAGATTTAACAATTTCAATCCAGATGAATGTATACGTATTTGAAACGAAAGGCATACAGTAATTTTGGTTTTTGGCATAAATTGGACCCCCATATATATATATGTGTAGCATTTAATGCTAGGCATAATTTCATGAAAACGTAGCATAATTTAGAATTGATAAAAAGAAATTAATGAAAAAAAAAATTAAATTGCAAAATAATGTCTGAGAATGCCAATTCGAAGCATCTATAGGTGCTTATTCTTAAAATGTTCTCCCCTCAACCTAAAAAGATAATTAGGTATGGGGTGTGGCAGAAAAAGTGTTGAATCTATTTTTAGCCACGCCATAAGTACTGTTTACCCGACTACTGTGTATCTAAGTACCAACATCAAAATGTTTGTTAAATCCACGGCAGTCGTGTATATAGCCACTACTGAGGCGTAGCATTCTGTAGCATAGTTTTACTCCAGCCAATGTCATAAGCTCATTTGTCAGTGGCCACGCTGGCCCTGTGCCTCCCTAATATGTTGAAAATTATACTGCATTCAAATTTTAATGAATGGAAAATGTACTCAAGTCTATTTTCGTAAAAATTGTGATTCATTAGAACTTGAAGTGAGAACAGTTCTCCCAACAAGAAATACATAATTTAGTAAGCAGAATGTAATTTTGATTAAAGTTCTAGGTCTGACTACAAACCATGGCTGATACAGAAATATTTGATGTTTCGTCAGTACATACAGTATTTAGTGGTGTAACAGCAAAGAGGTCTCACTGGTTAAAACCTGAGGCCCTAGATCTTATGGGGGCCCCAGACCCGGATGTTTATTTGTATTTTGTTTACTGTATTCCCTCAATTGGCTGAACAGACCATTTTAAGGAATAGTGTAAAACGTGTAAAGTAGAGACATCAAAATATGCTTTTATAATGCCTAAAACGTAAACACCAGCCCCTTAGCCAGGGGCCTAAGGCATTTGTTACACCACTGAGTATAGTATGCTGTATTTTGGCTTCAATGTCAATGCTTATGCTAAAGGGTAGGCCTACAGTATGTCCTGTAAAATGATTAAACTTGCATCAATTTTTATTGGAATGTCCACACATCAGCTTTAGAATGTACAGTAAATCAATATTTGAATTATTCATATAATTGCAGGAATATGTAAAAGTGAGGCAACATTAAGTAATTGAGTTTTTAACAGCCTTAGGGGTATTACTGTAAAGTGTTATCATGCACCACTGGCATAACAGAAATATAGGGGGCCCTGGATATTCATCAGCAATTTCTTTGCCCCAAAATCAGCTGACCGAGGCCTTTTCAGGGCAAAACGTTTAAAACTTTACGCTACTAAAATTTTAAAACTTTGAAGTAGACAGGAAAACCTAGGCTCTATCAGAGAAAGCCTAAATGTTAGTTAAACTATCAGTAAAACCTAAAGAGGCCTTACAGTAGGCAGAGGCCATAGGTTTCTTTGTTATACCACTGTAAATCTCCAGTATTGTTCGACAACAACCAAATTAATTATAGTTTATATAAGGTAGGCCTATATATTACTTTCCCTTTTCATGACTTTGTAGATGATCGGTCACACGTCCACATTAAAACAATTCATTCAAATCACATTGTATCAATTATTTGCTAATGGCTTTTCGTGTCAAGGATGTGTCAGTGCTTACGGTAGGTCATAACAAGTATATTATATATATATATAAATATTCTGATTTACTTTGTATTGTAGTAAAATAGTTTATGTGTTTGTACTACTATCCTCTGTCCATAAAGGTGAACATGTGACCTCACCTGAAAGGTAAACCCAGAAATGAAAGTAATGGTGAATTGTTCTACAACAAAGCATGGACCTTTGAACCACTTTAGTATTACACTTCTGAACCAAAACAAATTGTGCACGGTCAATTATAATCTTGCAACTGGAATATGAACTGTACCATGACCCATCCCTATATTCTATCTGTAATTCCTCAGGCATATACAGTAAGCCCACCTCAGATATAAGCCCACCCCCACTTTATGCCCAATTTTATGTACCAGCATTTTCTCAAGCAAAAGCCCAGGTTATGACTTACAGTATAATAAAATTAGTAATATTCCCAGAAATGAACAAACGTGGCAAAGTCAAACCAAACCAGTTGCTGTACTGCAAAGGTTTAAGGTTTCACTGTACAGTAACACTAGACACAATTTTATCAAAATTTCCATTCTTTTTATGTTTTTAAATGACATTAATAAAGTAGAAAGTTTTTTGTGTGAAAATTTGATTGGTTACTATCTACAGTGTGTGTAATTTGTCAAAAAAAAAAAAAAAAAAATTGAACTGATGTTGTTTAGCTAAAGTTTGCACCCTGCATAATCCTTTTTATTACCAGTATGTATGAACGTACATCAGAAACAATAAGTTACCTTGTACTGTACCTTGATTAAGTTCCACAACCTAAACATAGCTACTGTACTGTACTGTATACTGTTTGACAAACTGTCCTCTATGGGGCCACTAGCATTAAGGGATTTTTTACAATACAACATCACAATGAACAAGACTAATTACAATATAATGCAGATTGTCTACTACCTGCTTTCAGGCAAGCAGACACTTTGCTATCATCTCTCCTGTAACAGTAATTCCGGTTGGAGAAATGATGGGATGCATCATAAGTTAAAAATAAAAATGAAGTCCTCCAAAAAATAAGCCTCCGAAATATGATGCCATGCCTAGACCTGTCCTAGAAAGAACTAAAAAGTCTGGTATTCAAAAAGTCAACAATCTGTTACTTGTAGAAGTTGTAGTATACAGTAGTACCACTGTTCATGTGAATCACCAATACAGAAAGCATGTAGCCAAAACAAGCAGTAGACGCACGCTCACATTGGGAGCATAACTATCATCACAATGAACTCAATCCTTCCAGTTTAATGGCTATACTGTACATTATGTTTAATATCATTTTTCTTTTTGTTGTAAAGTATTATAAAGCTAAGTAGAATGCAGAGCCTCAATAGAAGTGGTAAAATAATTTACTATAGGTCCGCCCCTGCATTAACCCAGGGGCTTTACAGTACTGCACTTTAAGACAGTTTTGTGTTTGAATGAGTATTGTCTACTGAACAGTTAAGATGCAACCAAGCTTGTCATATCAGGATTAAAACTCTTTCAGAGACACCAACTTGAATAAATGGATATTGTACAAAAAGAGGTCAAATACTACAGTATACAGTACATTTATCTGCTGTGGCATTTAGGCTAGATAACTGTATTATATAATACTGTACAGTACCTCGGTAATGGTGCAAAAGTAAAACATTTCTAAAAGTCTTGGTAACGATTTTTGTTGTCTCTAGCAGCTCCCATCCATTTAACACTAATAATCGACACATCTTGAGTACTTTCTTGGAAGTGGGTTTGCAGAACATTAACTAGGACCTGTATTTGTTTGGGTCATAGGGAAAACAAATTTAAGAACGCAGAGTGGCTGCTCTAAAACTAATTCAGAAGTACAGTAAATACAAAGATAACAACTGACCAACCTCAAAAGATTTTGATTGTTGCTGCTCATGGCTAACTCCATTCACCTTACTACTGGTCTCTTCAATATTTTTCTGTGAATATAAATTAAATAGATTATTATTTTCATTATTATTATTATTATTATTACTTTCATCAAGGATTTATGCATTCACTGTTGTCTGTCTATCAGGCTGTCTTCCTGTCTGATTGTTAACGAGATCATGCAAAACTAATGAATGAATTATCATAAAATATTGTGGAATGGTACATAATAATCATGCCGACATTCAATTTTCGAAAGAAAAGGTCAAAGAAAATTTGATTCCCCTTCGGGCATAAAAGAAGATAATGGAATCTCTCCTCGTATTTACACAGCGCTGAAGAAAACAACGTGCCTGAATGCGACGGGCGAGGAGGTATGCAATCTATGGAGTGACTGTTTTAATTATTAATATTATTACTAATAACAGTTGACATTATAAACACTTTTTCATGATGCAATTTTAATTCATAAATCTTCCTACGCAAGGCTACAGTATTTTTGTCCTCTGCCCTGATTGGGCATTTCCTAACCTTTCCCCACCCCTGCAATGCAACGGTAATGTATCCCTAACTCTTAATAGGCAGTCTGCGGGCGAAATACGGCCTGTGAGGACATTAAATCAGGTCCAATGAAATTAAAAACAAATAACATAAAAAAGTAAATCATTTGATAAATAATTTTCCCACTATAAGTGACTACATAAACACAACCCCTGTGCCATGTCTACTAACAACATTTAGGAAGATCACGCCAGCGAATGTGGCTCCTATTGCATAGAAGATGAAAATTTGCACGTTAGGTATAGTATGTACGCATGCTTGTACAGTACAATGAATAGGGGCAACCACTATTAAGATCTAGGAAAATGTTTAACAATTACTATTACCAGTATTGCAAGTACTACTGCAGCTCCTGTATACCTTTGAAAAGCTTGGAAACACTTGTAAATTGAGAAGAATTAAAATCGAAGCACAGTAGTTTTAGATTTTACTTTTACAAAGTTTTACTTTACAAAGTGTGAAAAAACCAAGGGCAAAATTAGCAAGTAACAAGTCCCATAGTTCTATTTTTTGTAATTTTTTTTTCTTTATTTCATTTTCTTTTATTTGGTCTAGAGAACATTTTTGTGCTCATCAGTTTAAATGAATTTTTTGGACCAAATAAATGAAATAAAATGAAAAAAAAAATGAAATTACAGAAAAAAAACCAGAACTATGGCACTTGTCACCTGCTAATTTTTTCCTCAGATTTTTTCCTCCCAGCTATTTTTCCCTCCTGGCTATTTTTCCTTGGCTATTTTTTCTAGCTATTTCCACCCGGCTAAACTTCCACCTGTATTTTCCAATGTATTTTCCCTCATAGTTTCCCACCATCAGATATAAGTTCATTATTACTGTATAAGGCAGAACATATTATTTGTTTTTATTTTTGTTTTTTTTGTTTGCTATATATAAATTTGTTATTGTCTTGCCGTTGTTACACGACACAGGTACTGTATGCTGATGATACAAAAGTGTTGTCCAATAAATTGACTGATTGGCTCTTGATGCATTCAAAATACTGATGTAGCCTAAAGACACATTGTAGAAGCGTTATTTTAAAAATTTTGCATCCGGGTTCACAAAAGAAAAACAGGAAAGAAAACATGAAATCACTTTTTAACATACGTACTTGCTCTTTTCGCCTATGAATATCATGCCCATATCTGGCTGCATCAGCTAATAATCCGGCAAGGAGCGGCAATATTATTTCTGGTAAGGAGTACTAACAGGATGGACGCGATAATTTGATTATTACAACGCTTGCTCTTCTACAGTACTTTTGCGCTTAGAATGCCCTTTAGTGATTCTCTTCCACAATTATTAGGCCCTACTGTACGTCTATAAAATTCTATGTTACGCTTGTTGGTAGCATAACAGGCCTATTTCATTAAATATTCCAGTACCCTAATATTGTTGTGTAACACAATAAAAAGTAGAATTTGAAATTGCCAAAAGCATTACTGTATACAGTAATTAGTTGCTTCATGACGCGGATATTATCATTGGCCTGTGAGCTCAACTCAAAAGAATATTTGGCCCTTTAAACAAATTAAGTACTGTAGAACTACTGTACATGTAGGGGTACATTTAGTTACCCATTCTACCTGTACAAGGGTGATTACACTTATTGGCGGATTTGAGTCAAGTCCAGCACATAGGTACTGTAGGGACACAGTAATCTACAGCCTTAATCATATATTTTAAATTTTGAAGACTTTTTTTCTATGATCTTAATATTTCCAGCATATAAGGCAATTACTCAGTATTTTTGAGACGCAATTTACGACTTAGCCTTGAAACATTTTATTTGAAAATTTTATAAATGATTCCTAATAAACCAAAGTTAATATTTTGTTCTGTCCTGCCACTGTCTCATGAAAATACTGTACATAAAAAAAAATGATAAACATAATTTTGGAAATTAATTTGCTGCTTTTGAAGTACAGTAACATAAAAATTATGAACTTAAATTAGTGTACTGTATATTTACAGTAACAAATGATAGAAACGACTATTGTATTGATGTCACAATTTTCGTTTCAAGTTTGCATAGTAGACAACCAATTTTGTTTTTTCTTGAATTACATCCCCCCACCCCCAATCCCACTTAATGACTATAACAAAACTAAATGAAATCAACATCATTCTCAATACACATTCTATTAACAATATATTCTACTTGACAGTAGAATTTTCTTTTTTCTAACTTGGTTGGGATAACACACTTTGATGTCAATTATGTGTTTGTATCCATTTTACACTAAAAAAAATAAATGCCCCCTCGAATAAACGCCCCCTCAAAAACACTTCTCAACAATAAACACCTCAGGGCGTGTATTCGAATAATATAAAAAAATATAGTTAACCGGTATGGCCAAATTTAGCTGGTAATTACTGTGTCTGGAGCCAATACAGATTCGAAACATTTACATAAATTATTACTTCTTCTATGTACTGGCTACTGAATGTAAACATTTCTTTAAAATAGATTCTTCCTTTTTTAGAGACTGCAGGCTAAAGTAGGTCACATAAGTATGTCTAGTTGTTTTACTATGCCACATACATTATGAAGTAATGTTTTAAGTGTTGCATGCCAAGGAAGTGTTTAAACATAATTATTTTATTGATTATTTTTGTAGCGAACTGTAACACATTCTTTCATAGTAGTGTTGTCGATGCACACCTAATACAGGAGACAGTGTATTATAATGTATGCAATGTCTTCAACTCTCATCAAGCTATCCAATCATCAAGATTTCTAATTTTCGAGCTTCCTAATAGGTGGTCAAATCTTCAGATTTGTAGGTCTATTGTTGTCTGTTATTAAAGCAATAAAAAAATCACACTAGTGCTCATTGGCAATGTGTGTTGTTGGTGTGTTTACTAATTCCTCCATGGTATGCTATCATAGTATTGATAATTTTCTATAGAAGTTTAGGCAGGGCTGAAAAATTGACCAACCACGTGGCAGACGGTCAGCTGCATCATGCATTTTTTTTCCAGGCCTAGGATGAGGACTACCTACTGTATGAGTAGGCATACTATATGACCTCAAAGCTACAGTAGGGCCTATAGCACAGGTGGGCAAAGTGCAGACACACGCCAAGACATTAACCTTTTTGCGGCCAACGAAAACAATTTATAAACCCCTATGTGCGCGGCCCACCAACCATCTTTACATGTCTAGGAAATGTCTAGTTTTTTTTGTTTACTGTATGACCCAACACTGATCATCTGTTAAAAGTAATATTAAACCTTTAGAATAAATTGGTAAAAAAGCAGGGCATGAAGATTTTTGGAAGCACACTGGAAACATCAAAATTGGGTGTGGCCCTCGGTGTTAAATCAAAAATTTACTTTAGTCCTCTGACCAATTTTTATGCACACTCATGGCCTACAGTATAGGATGAAAAATAACATTTGGTCGCACTTTTACAATTTTTATAATTAAAAAATAAAAAAGGTGGGGTTTATTTTTGTAGTTACTCATTCTCATAATACAGTATTGGTGTACAGTATTAGTACTTAAAATTAGGAGAGCATTTACAACATGTTTTAATCTATGACAGGATACTGTATAGTACCATGCATATAATACACTAGGCCTACAATGCATTTATCTGACATACAGTTAATAAACAAAACCTCTACTCCGACCCCAGGGCTTCATTTGTACAATTACTGTATTACGTCAAAGCTGTAATTACGTCAAAGCTGTACACTACATAGGCCACCAATCAGAATAATCAACTGCAAACAAAACTGAAAAAGACATTGACGAATAATTTGTAGTCATGACAAACATGGTACAGTATTTGTAGCCCAAAGAAAAGAAAACAAACATCATGGAGCTTTACTGTAGTAGTAATCTGGACCTCTATTGTATGTGAAAGATATACCAGGTTTACCAGTATAAAATGTGATATGAAATACCAAATAATACTGATTAATCTGATTAATAAGTAATTAATTGCTTTTTGCATACTGAATAATAATGCAGGTATAAAATTCCTTTACAGTAGTCTAGCACAAGACTAACAATTTTTATTGGCATCCGATAAGGTTACGAAGTGATTCAACTATAAAATTAACAAAAAGGATTTGGCTTGGTAGCTACAGTACTGTACTACAAATCAAGTACAGATATGAACTGGACTTGTGACGTTTTTAGCTTCAAAGCTAATCATTTTCCTTGCTCAATTACTGTCTTAAGACTTAATGCCCTGTAGAGAATATCAAATTTTACAAGACAAAAATATGTTACAATGCCTAAATATGGTCATGATGACATCACATCATGACCATATTAGGCACATGATGACTATATATGGGCATACTGTTGCAATAGTTTTCTGTCACAGAAAATTTGATAACTTGGGCAGAGCTTAAATTCTTTGAATACTATAGACCTTGAAAATTGGCTGGTTATCAATTTCAGGCATTTTTGCTAGTATGTCTTGTTAGGTTTCATACTGTACTGTAAAGTTGAATATTCAATTAAAGTTGAATATTCAATAAAAACAATAACAATAAACTGAGCTACTTTCTTTATCATTGAAAAAAAAAATCACATCTGCAGCCTGGTAGTAGTTGTTGATTAAACAGTGTAATTTTAACCATCGCCTGATAACAGAAACCTTTCGGGTTTGCAAGCGATATAGGCCTACAGTATTATAGTTAGTGATAAAATAACATTTTAAAAAAAATATTAAAAATTAAAACAAATTAAACAAAAAAATAAACAAAATTTGAACAAAATTTTAAAAAAATTAAAAATGTAAAAGAAAATTTTAAAAAATAAGAATTTAAAAAAAAATTTTAAAAAGTAAATAAATAAATAAAATTAAAAATAAACATGACATGCAGCAAAATTTGCTAGTTACTGTAATTATAAGTAAGGTTATTGCTTGGACACGGTATTGTGTATGTACTCTAAAAGCAGGGATGTGCAGTACAGTATAAGGCAGGGCCACCCCCCACCCAGCCTTGAAATTTTCAACCAAGTCTGAAGTTAATTTCATGGCCCTCCACCCATGTTTACTAAACCCCTTGCCCATTCTTAAAATCTGCTCTTATTATTTAGAGTTTACCAATGTTATCACCCAACCACCATTAAATTGTCTACCAGCCACCCTTAGTTTTCTACAGCTACAAACCTGCTATATAAGTACAGTATACAGTATCAATGTCAGATATTTAAAGCCAACAACACAAAAACCTAAAAACCTAAAAACAAAAAGAATACCTGCTGCTGAGTTAAGTGTCTAGACGCTTTTGTCTTGTTAAATGTACCGCAACAATAATCATTCATCAACTGATACGCATTGAAGGAGTGTTCATGCGGCCCATCACTCATTACGCCCCTTACTTGCATCCCAGCATACTGTTCTATGTAATTTCTACCTCCAGGGTGAATGGCTGAAAATTTTGTGCAATCGTAAACATGATCATCTAATATTATCAGTAATCTGCCTTTTTTTACTTCTTCTTGAATTCTTTCATCTTTCCACTCCCCACTGATATCAGGGTCATCCATCTGTAATGAAAAAAAAATATTATGAAGGAGAACTTAATGGTCCTTTAAAACACACCTAAAGTTATTACAATACAATGATCACTGCAATGAGATGAGAGAATTCTGAGGGCTTCATTAATGCATGCACCTCGACAAGCTGTGCATTTTGCTTGGCCTTGGAAAACTCACTTTACATAGTCTCAAACTACTGTAAATATTTAAGAGATGTTTTCCAAATGAAACAATTACACTCTATTGAAATGTCACATACTGTACCTTGTAAACAAAATTTAATGTAATTTGCCTTCTTACATTCACATCAGAATCAAGTAAAATTTATTTTTAGCATTTTAGTGTAATAAAATAACATTTTATAATTGACGTGTCAACCATCCTATTAAATACTGTACCTAAACCATTTCCAATGTTGTTTCTTGATTCTACACCAGTAAACTAGAAATTGCAAATTGCAAGTGAAGTGCTGCGAAGTACAACTGCATATTAATGTTCTTCGAACAAAATTATTTATGCGAGTCAAGTGAAAATAATGAATAATAAAAATATAACAAATGATATGAGACACGACCCATTGTCTATATTAGAACACTTCTCATTGGGTAACAAAGTCGTAATTTTTCATTTTTGTCAAAAAGTGTATAGTGGTGAATTATGGTTTAGTTTTTTTTTTAATAAAGTTTCAAAAATTTCTATGTATGTGGAAAATGCAGTTAATTACCAAAGGTTACAATTTTTATTTTGAAGACTGCATGGTCTAGGAAGTGTACATTTTTTTATGGGGCAAGTTTCCAAGGGCGGCTTTTCTAGGGGCGAGTTGACTGCCAAAGATTGTTGCCAAAGTGCGAGCCAGCGTTTTATTTGATCACAAGTGCGAGACATCCAAGTGTGTGAGCAAGGAGGTTAAATTGGTGTGAGCCAGCGAGCCATGACGTCACGACAATAGATACGAGACGTTAACGAGTTATGAGAGGTATCGGCTGAGATTTGTGGAGTACAATTCAAAAAATAACTACTGTATAGGTCTAATAATGAATTATTGTGATGTTAAATAGACAATGTTAGCTATCAAGGAGCGACGTTGTTTTTCATTGGGACCTTCATCCCTTTAAGGCTAGGCCATCCTAGCTAGTCTAGGCCTGGCTAGCGCGACATGCGGACGTTGGTACGAGTAGGTTAGACAACAAACGTCGCCAAAAGTAATTGATTTTACCCGGCAGAACGAAAGAAGGAAATTCCGCTTTTCAGTCGTCTTAGGCACCTGTTTTATGACAAACAATGACCTTTCAGAGGTCAAATTGCTGTCAAGAATATGAATTGGCTGCTTCGCAGCAATAATTGTGATATTTTTGCTTTATGAAACACAATTTCCCCAGAAGTAAAGTGTGTTCCTTACTAGACAGGTATGGAGGACTGACTGAATGGCTGAGTACAGTATCATGAAGCTGCCTACTGTAAACAGTATAGATTGTTTTGGCATGATGCACTACATATAGACTGATTTTTATGACATAATGAGCTTCACAAATGCACAGATAGGAGGAATCTTTTTGACAAAATTTATAGGACGTAATACAATTTAAAGAGAAAGAGTGCTGTACTACTGTGACAGTTGGAAGGTACTGTAGATAAGTAGTGAAATTGAGAAGTCTGAAACAGATTTTCAGAGCTAATGCTTTAATCTTTGATCTACTTATTTTACAGATTCCTATAACTATTTTGAACCCCACTTTTTCTGATATAGTATACAGTACACTGGCAACCCCTAAATTAATGTAGGCTCAGTATAATACTATCCTTTTACTGTTTAGTAGGCAGTCATTCTTTTAATATCTTTTAAATTCTATAACTCATACCCACTATACAGTACACTATTTTTAAACGACAAAATATAAAATAACTACGTGTCGACTGATAAAATATTAACTTTAAGTACTGGTACTGCGATTGTAAAGAATGCCATATAAATTTATTTCAAAACACAAAAGCTATCATAAATATTTATATAAAAAAACTGACCGGTAGAATTGTCACTAAAAGTATTAAAAAATATCATTACTCATCATACAGTACTATTGTATACCATTCTTATACTATATATACTGTGTATAGAAACATAATAAATTTTAAAATAAACATTACAAATTATTTAAAACCAGAAATACGCCTATAGTTTATAGTGATGTCCAACTACTGTACTGGAGAAAGTAAATTTACTCTCTTCATAATTACAAACACACCTACAGACAAAACCAACAGTTTAATACAAATAATTGTTTGTTCTTCATCAATAGAATGATAGTTTATCTGCATGGTATGTATATAATTGCTGAAGTGTGTGGAAGATAAGTCTACTATATGGTGTAAATTGTACATAATACCTGTAGACTATAGATAAGGATGAGTTGTTATGATTTTGTCACTATAACCTTTGATCAATGTTTGTTCAATTCTTGGGTATTCCTAGACCCAGCACACACCCGCAGACATTTAGCAATGCCCCCATTTTTTTACGACTCAGTAAACCCAGTTACTCTACAGTACGCTAAACAATTCCTAAGAGTGATCTTTGCTTATTGCGATAATGATACCGAACTGGACAGCAATGTGCAGGTTGAACGAATGCAGTTAAAACAGATTTGTATTTGTAATGAAAAGGTAGTAGACAATGACAAAGATGGTTATAGACAATCAGATGAAGAAGACGTGAAAAGCTGAGTAAAGATGCAATTGTGGTTGGATTAGTGGTGATCAAATCTGCTCTAATCTGATTGGTACTTTACTGTATTTGTGGTTTGTTTTGTACTTCTAGTCTTTCAGTAAAGATATTTCAGTAATCTTGAAGAATTTCCATTAAGCAATCAATTTCTTTGCTGCCTTGCTACCCAATGGTTTAGTACTGTACTCTGCTGTATACTGTAAACAGCACCATTTAAATACTGTAAGTCATACTACAATTGAACTTGCCAAAGTCGAATTCTAAATGGCATTGAAAAATTGTTTCGACTTTGGCATGTAATATAAGATCAACTAGAAATTATTCAAGTTTTGGTAATGTCGACTTTTAGGCAAGTTTAACTGATTTCCGAAGTTGTTTCAAGTTTTGTCTTTGCAATCTACAGTATAGAGTTCAATGACACATAAAATATTAAGGACTGTGCACTCATAGCTACAAACTGTACATGTCCTTTGTTCAAACAGAAAAAGTCATCTCTTTAGGGTCACCAAATACAATGATTAGAATTATATAACAGGGCAACACTGTACCAAGATATCACAGATCATAGAAAAAGAAGGCGTGCAACAGTGTAAACAAAAATTTCATTGTACTGTACAGTATTGTTCAATCGAAATACCTGTAGGTTTCACATATTTGATAATGTGTAAGTCAAAGCATAGAGGAACCTCTACAGTATGGTCAAAAAATGTAATGATCTTTCAGCAGAAAAGAATCTGATTATACCGTACTCACACAAATAAGTACCCTATTTGAATAAACGTCCCTCTTGAAAAAGCACCCCTATTGTACAATACTAGTGTGAACATTTTCGTAAGTGCCCCGTTTGAATAACCGCTCCTCCGAATTTGTATAAGCGCCCCATCAACTTCAAATAGTGTAGACAACTATGTTCATCTGATTGGACATTTTAACACATTATATACAGTTTAAAATAGGTACTTTACCGGTTGTCATAAACTCGTAAAGAGTGAGAATTCAGTAAATTAACATTTTGATTGTACTTGTCATTTATGTTTATCGTCCTCCATAGTAATTGTACTCAACTACAACATCTTAAAAATAATCTGGGCTTTTTTCTTTCAAGAAGTCAATTAACAAGATGATACTGTATGCTATACTGTACAAGTTCAACTAACTGTATTATTATTACTTATAAGATAACAAAATTATAACATGGATTAGCACAAGAGAAAAAATAAGTCTGCTTTTCAAATTGTATTTCAAAAGCACAACAATCCAGGATCAATGCTAGTAAATTACATAGGGTGTATTATGTAAAAATAGCCTAGATCGAAGGACATACAGTTAAAAAGTCCTTGGCTTCTACTGTACGCAATACACAGTGTACTGTATACTGGATTTCAGGCAGAAATTTAGACTGTACAATGTGTTGCAAGGGTGAAGTCAACATTTTTCTGTAAATTGCAATAAAAGGCTCTAAACCTGAAGCAGGCCGGAGCGCCTGTCTCTCTTACTTTAGCGTTTGAATCAGACTGTGCTAGGCTGTGGGGGAGTTCGCCACTCCTCCCGCACTGTAGTCTGTTTTACCTTCCCAGTATATGCCGGTACCCATTTATACACCTGGGTGGAGAGAGACAAACGTAGATAAAGTGTCTTGCCTAAGGACACAAGCGACTTGCACAGCGAGGGTTTTGAACCCCTGACCTCAATGCTGAGAGTCCGAGCTACAACCGTTGGCCTAACCGCTTCTACGAATTTGCAATACTGTAGAAGAGAATAAAGTCAAAATTTCCATGGGGGCTTCACCCCTATCTCCACCAGGGCTCAGGTCCTGGAACCCCCTTTTTACAGTAAATGATAAATCCAATGTTATATTGGGAGAAGCACACCTTCCTGATGGCAGCATGTTTAATGCTTTAATATTGCTTCTTCTCGGCTTTTCAATTCAGATTGTTGTATCTTTACCGAAATGAATAAAATATAATAAAAATAATGATTGTAAAATTGTTCTTGATGCTAAATTGTTAAAATACATATAACTAAATCATTGATTCTGTATATATATTTTTAAAATATTTAAACATACTGTACAGGCTCAATGCACAGTGTTTGCTATCCAAATTAAAATGTAGTTCACATGTGCTTTAATTATGGGAATTCCATATTCCTTCAAAAGAGGTAAATTAAATCAATCAAAAGGCAATTATAAAACTTGTAACCAGTCTGTATACTCTGCCAATCAGAGTAAAGATACAAGATAAAAGATACAAGGTAACTTTATTGTCCGAAAGGAAATAATGAAATTAAATTTGGATATTACATCGCATGAAAAATAAACTGCCAGGATATAAAATATTATGAATTATAATTAATATTTAGTATGAAGTTTATATATTTTAATAATAATGTTATATTTATATAGCGCATATTGCACATTGCCCCTACTGTATGCGCTTTACAAAGAAAAAATATAGGCCAAACAGAGAAAATGAAAATAAAAGTAAAATAATAACAATAAAATAAAATAAAAATAATAGTCATAATAACAATAATAACAATGAGACTAAACTACTCAACTATTCCTTAAACTACGGTAATTAATGATTGGCTGTTGACTCCGAGGAGCTCATCTGCCCTTTGTTCAGCTATTGGTTTTTCTTTCACATTATTTTTTTGTTTTTAGTTCAATTGGGTGCATACATTTTTTGATAGTAATTCTAGTAGAATATTACTTGTGTTATCATCATACATTGTTTTTACCAAATGCTTATCTGTAAGGTAAGTACTGATTTTATACATTAACAAAACATTATGCAAAAATCTAAGTAATTAATATACAATAATTTAATTAAATAACATTTTGATAGTTCAAAATCTTGTTTTATTTATTTCAATTGTATGGAATGTTTAAATACAATGACCTACTTTTTATTTTAAAAAATTATTTACTGGTACAGTAGTACTGTATGTCAACCACTGTATTTTGTAAATATTGATGTAATGTAAGCAGGCCTACTGTACTACGTTCAGATACAACATTTATTTACGCTTATATTCAACTAATATTTAATTTTAAGTTAAAATTCCATATATTTGTTAGACATTGACCTACTTAATTTCTACTATCTATACTCCTGTGTTTCTTAATTTAACTGAAGACTAGAAATATAGCAAAAAAAAATATGCTGTGGCTAGAGATACAGTAACTTGCTAAAGATACAGTATGGTAAATTGCATTATCCAATAAAATGCTGCCACCAGCGTGACTATATCGTCCAAAAATCGCTCACTGTGCACATGTTTTCCTGCTAAGATGTTGTACAAAAGCGGTATAAGATAACGTCAAACTCACAGAGCACAAAAAAAGTCCTATAATTCAGCAAACTCGCCAAAAATGAATACAGTATAAAATTTGAAATGCCACAACTACAGAACAATTACAGTATGGCGATCTTCTATCCCATATTCCATAAATTGTACAAATAGTCGTTAACTTACCAGTGAACGTTTGTACGTTAGTCACTCAAAAAAGCAAGATACGTTATATATTGTATTATGTACCGGGTAACACGTACAACAGACAAGACTCTACACAATAACAATGTGTTAGCTTTCATATGGAAAAGGATGGTATAATTAATTTTACCTTTTCCTCCTGATATATAATGTAACATTTGACCTGACCTATGTGAAAGACATACTGTACACACTCCACAAAACTTTTGTTATCAGTCTGGTTTTTTACAGCATTCGAAAGTGCAGTATGGTTGTTACGTAATATTAATTGACTAACATTAACAATCACTAATAAAATAACTCTACTCGAGCATGGAACATGTGACAGAGGATCCTTTAATTGGTCCATAGTTGTGGCATTTTTAAATTTCATACTGTACTGTATTTGTTTTTTGGGAAATGCAATGAATCAGCAGGCCTCCTAAGACAAAGTCTAACTATAAAATCCAATTGACTTCACCAACTTCCTCTGCATTCAGCGAGCGATTTCATAAGTCTTAAGAACGATGACGTCACACCGTTGGTGGCATTTTATTGGATAATGTAATTTACCGTACCTTTAGCAAACGGAATTTACCTTGAATTTACCTTGAATCTTCGAGACTTAGAGATCAAAGCTCATTTGTCCCTCAATCATTATCGAATCCTCTTCGGTCATATACGGGCAAAATTTAAGGTGGTGGCCAGGAAGATATGATACGTTACAGTATCCCTAGCCACGGCGAAAAAAAATTAATAATAAGCCTGGCCCTAGCTAGGGCCTAGGCCTAGTGTGTTCGCCAAAAAGTGGAATGGTAAATGGGGGAAATAGATAAGTCAAGCTAAAAAGAAGAGAAACACTGCCCAATGGATTTGATAGGCCTAGGCTAGGCCCGGGCCCTAGCTAGGCCAAGGTCTGTTTTTATTATAACTAACAGGCTGGAGTCACGAGCCATCATCATAGGAGCTGTAAGCTTAAGTCTAGCAAGCTGGCCTAGGTTTCCCACGTGAAGAAGTCAAGCTTGCCTTGTGTGTGGACCTAGGTAGACCTTAGCTAGTGAGGAAAATAACAAACGAACCATGAAAACTTGCTGTCGTAAACAAGAAAGCCATGCATAATTAATGTTTATTACAAATGAATAGAAATGAACTAAATCAGTGTGTGTAAAACAAAAGTCGGCCACACTGCTAGTACGACTGCAAACAGACGTGGCATTTCTATTCTTCTAGGCTGGTGTTAAGCCAAGGACTTTTAAGCAAGCCAATTTGCAACACAAGCCCCCTACACATTGGTGGTCCCATACTACAGAACAACGCACTCACAAATAGGCTATGATGTCATTTTTGATCATATTTCATGTTTGACCTACTTACATTCTGCCGTTTACATTAAGAGATGAAGTTTTGATCCAATATCCTTAGAAATCATGGAGGAATTTGACATCAGCGTGGTCTTCTATAAACTAAACGCCCAGTTTTTGGCTGGTGTTTAGAACTACATGCAGTAATCACAGATAACTGAATGACAACCTCTCTGCTTGATTATGGATGCCTATTGATCCACGACCAAACATCGATCAACTCTCCCTCTAGCTTGCTGGCGTCAAAACTGATGACTCGCCCCCTATATTGCAAGAAAGTCGCTCTCGTGAATTTGGTAACACTGTTCATGCGAAAAAAGGGAGATGAGAACGCTTGAATTTATTATTTTATTTTTTTAATAATAATTTTATTCTGGCGGATTCACAAACAAATGATAAGTATTTAAAATATCTAATGATAATTTATGTCTTGTAATTAATCAATTAATTCAATAATTGGCGGTTTATTTCATTAACAGTCACGATATAAATATGCCAATGGCAGCGTACTTTATAGGCGTACTATAGCTTATAACAATATTGTATTAATTACCGTATCTTATATAGGCCTATGCCTATTTTTATTATTATTAATTAATATCATTTTTGTATTTTGTTATTAAATTATTGTCAATCATCTTCATTATTATTATTAATATTGCAAATAAAATCCACATAAAATCACTAACTGATAGACCTTGTCTAAAATTTACGAATTGAGATACGGTTTGGAATGGTTGTGCCAATCAATACGAGTGGCATATATAACAGGGGCTGATCAAGAGATGTCCGAAAAGGGGGGGGGATGCTTGAAGTGGGGTCGATCGAATAACCCTGAGGGGGTCCGGGGGCATTCCCCCGCTAAAATGTTTGTGTTCTAGACAACCGAAAATAACCTCTGGGACGTTTTGGGCGATCAATTAAAGTTTGTTATTCTTTTTAATTCTTTTTTTTAACCTCCAAAAGGGGAGGCCCCCTAAATCTGCACCAGCTGCATAAACAAACACATTAGATCATATACTATGTGGAACTGAAATAATATTGACATTAAGATTATTACAAGAATACAAAACGTTGTAGACAAATGGGGTGGGGCAAGCTAACAGGCATTAATATACGGTACTATTTTGTTTGGTGATTTCAAAACTTAACTAGTCATTATTTTTATTATGTAACACTTTAGCAAAAAGAAGCTTTTAAATGGATGACCATACATGTGTCTAGATGTAGTCTCTCCTTTGTATGCACCAACGATCTTTATATAGGCCTAAATCGATGTTAACTTCTGAAAGATTTAATCTCTCGCTTTTCGTATAAGAAATTTTAGTTAGAAAAATCTAGATCTTGAGACTAATCTAGGCAGACCTACAACTCAGTGGTGGCGCCAGGACCCGACGGAGGTGCTAAAGGCCCCGACGGGGGTGGGGAGCTAGTGGAGCGAATTGGTGTCGAAGCGCCCTGGAAGCCACGAATTTGACGAATAGGCATCGAGATGACTTGGTGTTGGCTATGTTTTCTAATGTCAAAATCAGCTTCCAAAACCAAAACATTTTGAATAAATTTGATGATGATTTATTTTCAAATCCTCATTCTTGAAAGTGAAATTCTACATTTTGGAAATTTTGCATGAAATATGTCAACCACGCTGTCAAGTTCGAGGTTGCTTCACCTATCACGATGTATTCCAAGCATCATGAGGCTATCCAAACAAGCATTTGTCATAACAGAACGCAATTTATTTTTAATTAGTCTAATTGAACTATTATTATTATTATTATTATTATTATTATTATTATTATTATTATTATTATTATTATTATTATTATTATTATTATTATTGTGATGAAAAGTTAACACAAATAGTTTAATGAAACAATATAGTGGCTAAACGAACATTACATAATTAATTTTTTTTTTAATTGTTAATTACCCGACAAAATTTTCTCGTCTTCCCCGACGGGGGGGGGGGGTGGTGGTGCTATGGCCCCCAGCCCTCCTCTGGCACCACCACTGCTACACCTTAGACCTACTATCGAAACCCATGTTAGGCCTGTGCTCATAATAATTTCGTGATCGTCAAATATGTTACTGTAAATCAATCAAAAATATACTTTTCGAGACATTTTGAGTGACGTCCGACCACACCCACTTAATTCGTAGGGAAAATCCCCCCCCCCCCCTTTTCGGGGTCCAGGAATCCAAGTTTCTATTTCCAACAATCCATTTTTTTTTTTTTTTTTTTTTTTTTGCAGTATCTACAAGTTTTAACAGAAATTCCAATTGTTATAGCAGGTTTCTAACATACAAATGAATTCACTGGAGCTGATGAGAATAATTATATAATTGTTATATAATATAACTTACCTGTCAGACTACAGAACCAACGTTAACAAATATAGTCATTGAGCGCTGTTAGAATCGTCAGAAAATATTACAAACTCAAAATTTGAAGTAGATGATGATGGAATGATGCTGGTACCACTTTGTTGTTACGCCAAATTAATTATTAATCAGTATATCAAAGCATTTCCCCATCTTAGCAATAATAGATCGTTCAGACACCGAGAGTAAGGTCGAAAATAAGGCAGGGGTTATTTAAAAGGGAAGATCGAAAAAAATGTTTTGTGTGCATGGGCTACGAGAGTATTAAACAGAAAAATGTTGACAAGAAATTATTATTTAGATTATAAATATCATGCATTTATTATTGTTAATAATAATAACGATATTATTATTACTATATTATTATTATCATTATTACTGTATTATTATTATTATTATTATTATTATTATTATTATTATATAATAATAATAAAAATAATAATAGGCCTACCATTATTACTATTAATACTATTACTATTATTAGTATTATTATATATTATTATTAATGTTATTGTTGTTGCTGTTGTTGTCTTGATGTTGAATATTGCTGTTGTTAATGTTATTACTGTTGATTTGTTGAATAATCTTAGAGATGACATTATCAGAACAAAAAACAAAAAAACAAATAAAAGAATACTTGGCTTTGCCTTGAACTGCTAACAGGTAAGCAAGCTAGGGCGTATATATGTTATTTGGTAAATAGACGTGATTTGAACATTATATCAAATTACAAAAATATCATGAATAACGAAAAAATAAAAGGCCTACGAATAAAAAGTGAAAGATTAAAGAATGAAACGGAATGTTAATTTAACATGGCAAGTTTGTTGAGAAAGTGTTGTTTCCATTGTAGCCTATAACGCCTCATAAAATTTAAGATGGTGTGTTAATGGGACGGAGTTATTATATTATTATTTATATTTTCTTATTGTGTCATCATTATCATTGTTTAATTCAACTCCTTTATTCCACAAATTTCACAAATAACCATACATTTTACCAGACACATATAGGGTCTGTGATTTTACATTTCACATATTTTTTTTTTCTTACCATCATCGCCATCGTCGTCATAATCACCATCATCATTATCATCATTATCATTATTATATGTTAGATTGTATGGAAGAAATCCATGGTATGTGCAACCACCTTTGCTCCCTGCATTTATGTCTGACAGGCTCGTACCCAGAGCTCCAAACACTAATTATTAGAATGTTGTCTGAATCAATAATTAGGAACGAATTAAAACGTATAGGCCTATTTATTTAAGATACCATTTTGGTTTGTTTTCATTTCATTTCTTTAGGCACGAGCGCCAAGGATATGCCAATAAGTGAACTTAATCACTGTCCTACGTGGCATATCCATTTAACAACAGGGGACTTAATGGACCAGTACACCGGGGTAACCCCCTATTCTTCTCGAAGGATGTACTGTACTGGGTTCTTTAAAGTGCACACGAGTCAAATGCGTCTCTGTAAAATCTCTCAAAATAAAGCTCTGTCCAAATGTTCTTTGACAAAAATTGGTGCATGCCCATATAAAGTCACGATGTGCCTATATATGATCATGATGTGATATCATCATGCCCATATATAGGCATGTCTCATGTTTTTGATCAAATAGAATTTGATAGTCTGGACAGCGCTTTAGACATCGAACGTTTAAGAAACTAATGTCAACATGGATGCAAACCATAAACAAAGAAGCTTAATGCAATTTAATAATGACAGCTGAATCAAGAGAAATCAAGGAGTTAGTATTGATATAGAAAGAAAACTGATCGTTGACCGGTAACGCTAAATCTACAAACGATAATATAATAATAACTCCCATATAGGCCTAGGCCTACATTACGGTTGTCCGTCTTATCAGGGAACAGTGTAATTTCACTGTTACCTGCATGGTCTTGTGCTTTTCATTATGGCATTATTATATACCAATTTAACATATTCCAAATTCGTTCGATGTCAATAATCTTTGAGTTTACAAACTCTACTAGTCAAGTCTTATGCGATAAACAAACATAGACTTACTATGCACCAATAAACGCAACAGACAACCAAAATAACATTTTCCACAAATTTCTATTCTAATCTAAATCATAGTTACACAATCTGTAAATCATCATTATGATAATAAATATTGTATTTGATATATTTAAATTTTATATATTTTACCAGCCTGTTAGTGGCGATGATTCGCTGTTGAAATGAAATAAAAATAAAAATAAATAAAATAAAATAAAAGTATATGCAACGAGACTTCCTGCTAAGCACCATATTTTTTATATTGTTGCTAGGTCCCTCGAAACGGCAGCGTAGGGCAAATATCTGTTCGTGGGACGTGCATATTATTCTTTCTTCTTGTTCTGATTGGCCAGTTATTAAGTTGGATTGACGTTTCGAAAATGTTAGTTATTGATACATCGCATGACATTCACCCTTGTATGGACGCAAACCCCCACTATAAATACGTAGTTGCCACTGATACAATCGCAATATATTTCCTAAAAATTATACAACGCATTTATTTACTGTAGGAGCAGACTTGTCGGGAAAAGTTGAAATTATTTTTAGAATGTTTATATGTTATTAACTTTTCCGTTTGTATATATATTTAAAATTTATTATCTCACGGCATAGTGGAATTTAAAGGGATATCCACACCAGGTTTTTCAAAATGAATAAAAAATGGAGAAAAAAATTCGTTATTTTCTGGCATAACTACGGAAGCGTATTGCTGCCAACGTAAAAAAAAATGTACATAGGCCTATGGGATAATCAAGTCGCACGTACGAGATATTAGGCCTATCTAGTTCGTACGACTAAAAGTGTTTAAATTTAAACAAATATGGCTCGTGTAAAGCTAAAACGTTGGAGCTTTAAGGGACTTAAAGAGAGGAAAAGGCGTGTCTAAGGGAAAACGAGTACTACTTGGCTAGTTCCTCTAGTACCAGGATAAGGAGGTTGTTTACACTTTAAGGGGCTAAGGCGGACAAGATTTGAGATTGGATTTTGCGGTGTTTTTTTTTTTTTTTTTTTTTTTACACTTGTTTTAATTTCTTTGTATTTTTATGTTTTTAATATTCATTTGTTATATTTTTATATACACGAAAGCATAATTAAAGAAAAACGTTTTCTATTGAATTTTAATATAAAGTTTTAAATTCAGTAATATGAGACCAAGTTTTGGTGTCACACCTGTGTTTTCAATGTCAACGAATTCATCTATATCACTCAAAATAACGTATGAAACGATAATTACTGATTATTGTGTTGTTAATCAGTACCTAAAATTGTTTAAATTCAGTTGAACAAATACGGTTCTTGTAACGCTAAAACGTCGGATCTTCCAGGGACTTGAAGAGAGAAAAAGGAGTGTCTAGAGGGAAACGATTACTACTTGGCAAGTGCCTCTAGTTCCAGAATATACGAGGTTGTTTACACTTCGATTTTTTCATTAGTGTAGGTGTTTTTTTTTTACTTTTTAAAATTATTGGTATTCTTTTAATTTCAACTATTCATTTGATTTATTTTTACATTTTAACTGACAGAATATAACAAAAGTAAACAAATGCCTGAACAGATAATGTGTGCGTTTCATATGACTTTCTATACAAAACAGATATCATAAATCATATAACATAACTTGTGGACAATGGGCAATTACTGTTGTCCGACGTCTGTGTGCATTGAAAAATGACATAATGTTGGCAAACCACTAACCGTAACTCAAACCATGGACCTATTTTCAAACGACCCGGTAAGTAATCCTGGGACCTGTCATTACCTAACTAAGCTGCCTGCTCCTCATCATTATCATCTTCTTTAACATCATTATTAATTTTCCATAGTAAAGTAGGTAAATCTATAAATTCGGAGTGTATTCATTCACATATATACGCCTGAATACTGGAAAGTGAATTTCCAAGCATTTACAAAACTAAAAAAAATCCTAGGGGGATCCCATGCAGACCCCCTTCCCGTTCACGTTTAATTTATAAAATTTATCTTCAAGCTGCAGAACAACCACAAATTACGGGTTTTTTTTCCCCCGCCCTCCCTTGAAATCAATCTGTGTAAACTCTGAATAGTCGCCTGCAAAACCTTTTTCAAGAGGGTACCGTAATTTTACACGAGCCGAGGACCAAGAGAAACACCATTGGAAAGCTCTGGGCCCCAACTTTACCCCCTCTCAGGGAACAGTCGTCGGCAAAACTCTTAAAAAAAAAATACAGTGGACCCTCAAATTCCAGACCCCTAATTCTGAAATCCTTTTAACAGTGATGTAACAGTGAGACACTAACCAGCTACAGTAGAACCCTTATTTAGGTACAGTATTTGTAATTATAATACTTGTTGTGGTTGTAATAATTATTATTCTTATTGTTGTTGTTATGAGTATAATAATAATTATAATAATATTAATAATTACAATAATGTAGCTTTTTATTGTTTTTTTTTTAATTTGTTTTAAATATGTTCTACCTTTGATGTTTTTGTATATTAACGCTTTAAAAATCTGATTATTATGTAATGCACCGTTGCATTGTATCATATTTTATTTTTATAAATATATTTTACTGTGCAATAAATTTAAAAGGTTTTCTGGCAAAACAATTTCTTCTTTGTGAAAAAATCCATGTTTTTTTCTGATTCTGATAACATCTGTGATCTGTTTCAGGGCCTCATCTGAAACTCCTGAAAATGGTAGTCATTAAGCTCTTCAAAAAACCAGTATAATACAGTGCATCCTATAATTCGAGTCTATATACCGGTATTTCTGATACCTTTCTAACAGTGGTTAAAGCCTGAGCTGTCGGGAGGGGAAAGGGTAAAGCTGGGCCCCAAAACCAAAGTGAGGGGAGGGGGAGGCGAGCTCACTTTCAGTCCCGTGAAACAATAGAGCCTTGGCGAGTCTTCGGCCACATAAAATTAGGTAAGGAGATACCCACCCCTCAAAGTCTTGAGAGCAAAGATACTGGACACGCAAGGTACGCCCGCCTCCCATTGACATTTTATCGTCCCCGGGCTCCCATGAATAGTTATTAGATGCATAATTAGGCCTAAGCCTAGCTGTCTGGAAATGAGCAGTCGGCACTACTAGATATTTATCTTATACGTATGAGACAATTAAGTTGTACGTACGACGTATTAGCTCGTACGCAAGAGATAATATCTCGTACGTACGACTTAATTATCTTGTAGTAAAATATTTTTACGTTGGCAGCAAAATACGCTTCCGTAACTAACCAAAGAGTTAGCGAATATTAAAATAAAACGTACTGATTTTGCTATTCCACTTCTAAATTTAAATCTGATAGTGCTATTTTTAGCCAACTAGAGGTGACATAAACATACACCTGTGCCCACAAATATGTTGGACTCGGGTAGCCTAGATCAGCCAACTGTAGCAGTCCCTCCGAGGCACCTCTATTTCGAATTGCCCGATCCGCCACTGCAGTCTTCTCTCGCGCATTATTATAGGAAATATTCACAAAGATTATTGATTCATTCGGGCATTAAGTTACAATCACATCGGATCCGAACAGAAATTCGGACCATGTTTTATGTATGCTGAATGCCAGCGTCCCTATTCCAGATTTACACTGATTCGATTTTCTGATCGGTTCAATTATCTCCATAGTTACCAACCGTCTCGAATCGTGCGGGACGGTCCCGCATTTCAAAGTGATTTTGGATGAAACACGCATTTTGCAGAAAAACATTCGTGATCCTAAATTTGTCACGCATTTAACACAAGTCTATGCGTGATAACGAATTATCACGAATTCAGGGGAAAATGTATTAAAAATTAGAAGAAATTGGTTTTATTAAAAATATAAAATGTTTGTGTAGGTATACATAGTTCGGGTGCTCGAATTAAACATAGGTAAATACACACTTATGGGCCCACTTCTGTCTAAAAAAAAAAAAAAAAAAGAAAACTTTCTATCAAAAAACAATGAAGTACAGTATACAGCTCTTCAGAATATCTTTAATCAATAGTTTGGTTTTTTACAAATAATTATTTACAATATTGAAAATAAAATTGCACAAAATAAAATCATTACGTATTGTCGACCTCTCATGCCATCTAATGAACAAGGCATTAACCATTCTATGTACAATAAGGATATTAACATGGTTCCCTCACTTGCATCATTAATATGATGTAAACAAATGGATTCGGATAAAGATACGAGTTATATTTACAGTATCATATAATTTTATGTATTCAATTTTTAAACTTCATTATTCATAACTACAGTATGTAGCCGGATATAGCATGGGCATAGCATTGATATCTTATGAACAATGAGAGATTGTTTGCAATACTTGGATATAGCATGGCTATAAGCATGGGTATGATGAGGACATACTGTATGCTTATAGTACTTTGATATGTTATGTCCTATGTCAGGCATGGGCATGACATTGATAAATCATGTGACTACATTAATACCACGGATATCATCTGGATATAGTATGAATATGACTACAGTACCGATATAGCATGAATATGGAAGGATATAGCATAGATATGATCTGGATATAGTATGAATATGACTACAGTACCAGAATATGGAGGGATATAGCATTTATGAATATGACTTGCATTACAATAGATGTCATAAAATGAGACGTATATTTATGTGTATATATATGTATATTTACTTTTTAAATCGATAAAATTTATAGCTGGAATACATAATTTCACTAATCATTAGAATTTGGTCACAAAAGCATTCAACAATTGATACAAATGGCAAGTTAGAATTTTAGTAGTAGAATAGTGTCTAGGTTTCTCATCTATAATAATCAGGCATGTAGATGAATTTAAGGAAGAGTTATGCAGGAATTTCTACATGCTTATGTTTATATAGGTATAGTATGTGGAAGCATATTTGTAGCATCTACTGTGGCAGTGCTACCAAGTACACATAGACTGGTAGTGGTTGTACATACTAAAGGTAGCATGCTGGTGATGGTTGTATCAACTAGAGACAGTACGGTGATATACACCTACCAGTGGCAGTACACTTACTACCTGTATTATATCCAGCGGTATTCAACAGAGTGGTAGTGTATATACAGTGTGCCTAGAAGTGGTAGTAGTATGCACTATTAGTGGTGGCCAGACTGACTGACAATACAATCTCTGGCGACAGTACACTGGCCTACTAGTGATAGCAGGGCTCCAAAGTGTCTTGGAATCCGGGCGACTTCACACTCCTGCAAGCATCTCCTGGAAGCGATTTATTATACTTGCTTGATTTTACTACCAGTATCACCAATTTTTTACCTGGAGTCTCTCTATAACCACATGGAGCAAAATCAAATTAGATTAGAAAGCTCATTTAACCAGATCTCCTAAAAGTGGCTTCTTCAAACCTGGGAATGCTGCTGTAGCCAGGGTGGACTAATGGCACCTACTATTGTTAGTACAGTGGTATACACAAAAGCTAGTACAGTGGTGGTACATCCAGTCGGTGGTAGCCGGAAAATACAATACAAGTGTTAGTACAGTAGAGTGGTGCTGTTGTACATATACTAGTGGTAGTACACACAGATACGATGGTACATCTACTATTTTAATACTACTAGTGCACATTTACTAGTTATATAGATCAGTACTATACAACCAAAACACCTCTGCATGCTTGATTCTAAATAGTGATTCTAAAAATTAGTTATTTAAAATATCTTCTATTGAATAATTTGTTTTCATAATGCTGTTGAGTGTCTGGAATCTGAATCTTCAACGACTTTATCTATACAGGCAAGGGTCTCTGCTACCACCTTCAGTGTCTCAACACCGCTGAGTAATTGCCTAAAAAAATAAAATATAATATAATTATAATTAGCACAAAGCAAAGTCTAACTTTCTTGAAAAGTAAAAAAAAAACATGCTTCATGTCAACACGGAACTGGTCACGACATGAGTGTTCAGAGACAACGCAGCTGAAAAGAACAGTCACACAAATTTGAGTTGACATGAGTTTAATTTGAGTTGAATTCCTTTCAGTTGCCCATAGAGTACCACAGTCATGTCGTCACAACGCCAGGTGGCCCCCTCTGTTGTCAACCAGACGTTGGTTACCGTTCATTACACCAGATTACGCCTGAATGACTTCATAGGCTTTCTGAAGGTATTTTAAAATCTAATATTTTACCACCAAAATGTACTAAAAACACAAAAGCTCGCATTATATTAGTTTTGAACACACATTTAATCGTTTAATTAAAATTTACAAAGAAAAACTAAGATACAACATTTTAATAACTACGTTAGGAATTGAGATCAATGGTTTGTCAGTGGAGAAAATGGCGTCCGGTTTAACGCATTTTGCAGCGATGAAAACGGAGTATATCACATGATTTTGTGACGAAACACTATAGTACTCTATGTTCTACATTTTGCGAAAACTGAAAAAAGCGCTTCAAGTCAACACAAGCTTAGTTCCATTCAGTTCCTTTGAAAATTGAAACAATTCAACTCTCACTAATTTATTACAGAACTATTAAAATCTACAATTCAATTATAATGTTCTTTTCATTGCTTTTGAAATGCATATCTTAGACCAATATCCGCACCAATGTCACAGAAAACATGACACAAAATCATACAATGATATAAAATACAAATTAAGTGATCAGGCCAAGCAGCAAATTTAAGGGCAATACCTGCATATGCCAATAATATAGGAACAATATTATTTGCTGTGCATTGGAAATGAAAAGATTTTCTTGTTTAAATTTGCAATTGAAAGCTATAAACCTTGCTCTCGGTACATTTATTTATGTATTTACCAATTTATATAGCACCCTTTTCTTGAATATTCATGTTCAAAGAATATACAAAATACAATACAAAAATATATATTTAGAAAAATATGACATTAGTACCGTATATACAAATTGATTAAATAATTGATTTAGAATACTTATTGACATTAATAGTTAACTGCAAAATTGATAATTAAAAGGAGACAAGCTAATTATAAAAAAGTTATAAAAAAATTAAAATTTAAACTACAATAACTTATAACCAAAATATAAAAAAAATTCAAAACATCTCAAACCCAGGCATTGATGACAACAATAATTCAGAGATAATATATTAAAATTAAAATGAACAGGGAGAAGTAATAAATAGTTTAAATTTAAAGTAATAATACTCCTTTGATCAAATGTATCTGTTAGTTTTCATTGGCATTCTGATTGCAAATATGATGGAAATAAGTAAACTCCATTTAGGATTATCATAAGGCCAAATAAAATAAATTGTTTGTTTGCCCTTCTTTTTTTTTAAAATGATAAATAGGGGCAGATGAAAAATGTTTTTTTTTTTTTTTTAATTATTATTATTTTTTTTTTAAATACTCATCAGATGGAATAAAAATAACACACAGAGGCCTAGAATGGCAATATCTTACATCAGACAACAACTTTAAACTAATTTGTAGGGCATCTGGCAAAAAATAAAGATAAAATAATTCACTCACATTTTTTCTTAATTTGTAAAGAAAAAAGCTAAAAAAAACCCTTTTTTTAAGTTTTTTTTGTTTTTAGGCCCTTATTTTTTTCAGTGAGTTAGGGGCGGGTGGAGACGGGCAAACAAAATTTTTTTTTTTTGGCCTAATGTAGGTAGTATGATATTTTCAGATTCAGTTATACCGCCCTCTATAATGTAAACCAAACTCAAACATTGCCATTGATTCCATTTTTTATCCCTATTTAACAATTTTAGCATCAATTATTAGCATTTGATCTCTAGGTTACAAAGATCTAATAATATGATTTTTCATTTTTTGAGAGAAGAGCCTGTTTTTGCTAGAATGGGTCACATATGTTTCAATGGAAAAAAAAGTAATATTTAAAATTTAAGAATTTGAAGACATACTTAAGTTGGTGCTCAGCATCTCTTGATAGTGAAGCTAGTTTCAACGAAGTGGCTTGGGCCTTCACACGTATTGCACCTAAGTCGCCATTGCTCACTTCTTCGGGCGGAGCAGACTTTGGTTCAGATTGCATATGATGAATATGAGACTAAAAAAAACAAAAAACAAAACCATACATCAATTGATAAATCAAATTTTGTATGTTAATGAGCATGAGAGTGAGCTTAGAGGTAATGTTGCTGCTTATTGAGCTGAAAACCCTGGTCCAAACAAGGCCAGCGTCAGGTTGTAATTAGAGGCAGATCGCTCTGCTCCTTAAATAATCCTCGCATGAGAGTTAGGCGGGATAAGGTACAATGTATACGGTACTAGTAACTAAGGTAAAAGTGGTCTTCAAAATCTTCTAACCTGGTTTTTAAACACTATACTGGTAATTTATTGACAAATAACAATGCCTGCTGTGATAATGACTCTTTAAGTAGAGGTATTCTTCTTTGATATTTAATTGGATTATTGAGATAAGCCTCTGGCAAAACCTGGGTCACCAACCCGCCGAAATGCCTTTCAAAGTGTTTGCTGGAAAAATGGGATAGTATCTGCATGTGGGGAATGCAAAATAGGCACATTAAAAAATAAAATATATTTATATCAATTATACCATGCAGAAAATAATACAATAAATCAAAAAAATAAAAAATTGTTTTATCTCTGGGATTGACAATATCATTGTAGATATGTAATAGGTCAGGCTTAAATTGTTTTTCTTTCACATTTATACTCAAGTATTACTTTGAAAATGTTTACCTTTAAATGTTTGATTTCCTGTTTCAGTTTGGAAACATGTGATTCAGCCGCAACAGCTCTATCCTAGAATAAAATAAACAAAATTTAATTACTAAAATATTATAATATTCTGATACAAGATTCACACAGGAAAAAATGATGCATGGAATGTGTGCTGGGAAAAAATTTAACAAGTGCACAACCCTGCTACATGGCATCTGCATGAGGGTGCATTGGTTAAACATTTGCACACGTTCTTTGTAATAACCATAATGCAAAACAGACATTACAAAGGTATGAAAAACTCCCACTGCTTCATTTGAGAATTTTTTTTCTGTCTAGACTTGAGCAGTTGCATATACTTGCGGTGGGTTTGAGGTGCGACAGCGGTGCTGCATATCAACTCTACAAATTTTAGCACATTTTTTAATTATTGTGCAAATGGATGGATTTATTCAGTGTAAACAGCAAGTATAACCCACAAAAGTCTGAAGAAGACTTATTTCCAGTGCAGTGTTTCTGGTGGTGATTGGGCAGTACACCGGGAGGCAATCTCCTACTCTGTTCCGAATAGTGTACTGAGTTCTTTAACATGCACACAGGCCATACATAATGCCCACAGGACCAACGGCTTAAATGTCTCATCTGAAAGACAGTGCACTATCGTAACTTGCATTTCAGACCTCCAGCTGAAACACAAGGAGAGCAACGATGGGAATTGGACCGGGGACCTAGAAATCTCCACAGTTCAGCGCACACGCGGTGGCTACCACCAATTTAGCCGACTAAGCTAAGCTGCACTCAAGAAAAATGGTGATGATGGCGAAAATGGTGAAAATAATGGTGATTTCAGTAGGAATATCTTGGGAACTCGATATCACATTTAGCACATGTCCCTGTAAATGTCTATGTGTGAGAATAGGGCATAAGAAGATATAAATTGTCCAAGTAAAATCACACGGTCAAAGTAATTATAGTTACATAATCCACAAAATTTTAAGTAGACAAACACATGGAAACCATAAAGTATTAAATTATTATTTTGCTAAAATCCTACATGGGTGTGGTTTAAATTTCCTTCTATTTCTTTCCTATCCCTATCGTTAATCTGTTATAGTTATCTGCAAACTACATTTCCTGACGCAAATGAAACCAACATTTCAAGTTTTCTTTTTGGGTACGAAGTAAATCTCTACAGCAAATTCTCTGGGGGCAGACAACCCAGCTGCAGTCAAACTGTAGCTGAATCACTCCATTGGCGGCAAAAATAAAAGCCGGGTACACATTTACTCTACCAATCAATATAAGGTGCCTATGCAGCGAGTACAGTAACTCTTGCTGTGAACAGGCTGCCAAACAGGGAGACAATATTGTTGACCAGTATTTGGTTTTAACTGGGTAATTGTAAAATTATACAGTAAAAGTAACTTAATAATAAAAAAAGTCACCATTTGTGCAGACTCGATGGACAAAAAAAGAATTCATATTACTTCCTTCAAATTATAGTAGAAAATGTACTGGTATACTCTGCACATGACTATTTGCATGAGACACGGTCAGTGCTAAAAAAAGTGCCTAACCGCCTGTTGGAGGCATCATGCTTGTCTCAGGATGCATTTTGAAAGGGGTGGGAAGAGGGGTTTCTGTAAGACAACCACAACTGGGCTATAGGCAGTATTGGAAAGTCACCAGAAAATATAACAATATAACAGAAAAACAATTTTTAAAATGTTTTCCTAGTTCCAGGCTATCTGTTGGGTTATATATAATTAACAATTTATTAATTAATTAATTAGTAATTAATTAATATTTAATAATAATTATATATTAATATTGTGCACAGGAAACATTTGGTGCTGGATGCATTTTATTAAGACAAATTCAGGCCTAAAACATGGTCAAAACATAGTATTTACTGAAGTAAATTTCTTTGCTAGCCATTTCATGGGTGTTTAACATCAAACAAAGCATGAAGAAATTGTAAAAAGCGGTCAGAGAAAATGATGTTATCTTTCTAGACCGAGGAACTGCCCAAACTATATCGTAATATAATTATTATTATGCTCAAGGGACAACAATAATCTCATTCTCAACAATTATCTAATACATATAATTTTTATATATTGATAATCATTGGATAATTTGAGTTCGTTCCAATACATTTCGTCCTGTTAAAGTAAAGAATCTGAAAAGAGAATAATTGGATTATTTTTTTATTGGACAATTTTCAAATAATCCAGAGCTGCGGAAAGACAGCATAAAAGTGAAAGGAATTCTGAAAATAATAATTGCAGCAATTATAACAAAACTGCAAAAATTGGCAAAGTTTTTCACAAGTTGCTAGGGCAACAAAGACAACTTTTGAACATATGCCAAACATGTGGACAAAAGCTTTAAAGCCCATATTAAGTATTTATAAAACAATAATTGCAGCAATTATAACAAAACTGCAAAAATTGGCAAAGTTTTTCACAAGTTGCTAGGGCAACAAAGACAACGGACAAAGAAATACAGTTTGCCGGCCAATGACAAGAGATTGGTCAGTATCTATCCAATCACAGAAGACTAGGTAATATCTAGCCAATCAGAGGAGATTTTTTATTTAACCAATCACAAATGATTTGGTAATATTTAGCAAATCAAAGAGGACTGGGTAATACAGTACCTAGCTATATGAATTTCAACTAACGGTAGCATATCGTACTGTGTTCAGTACTTACTGTAGTTCTTCTCAAATTGTCCTCCACATGCTGAACCATGGTCTCCAACGCCTTTGCATCTTCGGCTTCTCTCTGCTTTAATCGCCGTATTTCACTTTCCATTTCCCTCATCCTTGATTTTTTTTAAAAAGGGAGAGTATTTTATTTGTTAAAAAGTAAAGAAAAATACCATATGTATGGTTTAAGTTTATGTGTCCTAGTCTCTTATTTCAATACATGACATTTTGTATGTACTGGAATTATAAAATTTAGTGATAAAATGGAAAGGAGGGGAGGGGTGTTGATAAGAAGAGCATGCCCCCACCCATTGGATTCACCACTGATAAAATATCCTGTGTAACACTTGAAAACATACGTGTGTGTGCATGTATGTGTGTGTGTGTGTACAATAGCACCATCTGGTACTGCATGGTATCTCTTGGGAAACATTTGCATTTTCTGGTAGACAAGGTGACTCCTATGAATGTGCACCACAGTGGCATCCTCTGGTACATTCATGACCCTTTCTGCTGATGCACCTCATGTGCCAATCAGTATATGAATGATATTACATGTAGGGTCTGCTGGTTCATTTTGACCCTTTGGTTTACATTGGTACCTTGGTATTGGTATCCAGGAATTTGAAATAGCGGAGGCCCTAAGGGACTTTCACAGATGGAGGGTCTATACTAAAAGAACATTTAGAAATTATGACATCTCAAGATGGCCAGAAATGGCACTCTTAGACTCAAAATTTTAGTAGAATTTTCGTTTTTTCTCAATTTATTTTAAATCTTGAAAAATTTAGGGGGCCCCAGGCTGGATTTCCCCCCCCCCCCTCTTTGAATCTGCCACTATACAGTCATATCTTTTGGTAAACAATGTTTCCTTCTGCATAGAAACGTGGAAACTCACACAGTAGATTTTCCTGACAGTTGGCTATTTAACGCATTCTTTAGCAGTAAAGTAAATGCTTGTATCAAAATGTCTCTTGGGTAAAAGTCTGTTATCCATAAAATTGCTACACGCTATTTGCTACAGCTGTCGGCTACTCATGGTAGCAAATATAAAATGGAAAAACTAGACATTGTATCGGTGATCTGACCAACTACTGACTGTTACCAGGCCTCAGGTCTGGAAAGTGGAAAACTACAGTACTATTAAAACAAAAACTCTGCTAGGCCTATCCTGAAAAGGTTGTTTTTTACACTTAGTTTTGTACAAAGGTTATGGTTTATTTAATTCATCTTTTGAACAACAAGGCCCTATGAATGAGTTTTCTTTTTAAACTTATCTTTTATTCTTTTCTATACGCTTTAGTCATACAATCAACGGAAATATTGGATTAAATATTTCACTTTTTATTGAAATTCAATACCATTGCGTAAGAAAAAAAAGTGTGTGATGATTGCTAGTGTCGACGTTTAGTTAATTAGACGGGCAACTGGCCCATGGTTACGATATATTGGGCGAGTTGAACCTGTTTCAAATTTCCTGATAAGTCGTCAACAAATTGGGGAGCCTTCCTGGTTATGTTGGTGATAGCTACGTAGTTAATAGGTTTGCGTTAGCATCAGTGTAGTAATTTTATGGAAACAACTATGTCTTTGTATCACTCTGTTCAGCCTTAGTTGATCCTGCAGGTGCATCCTTGCATCACTTGGGCATATCATTTTTTTTATTTTATTCATATAGTCACATGGACCAAAAAAAAGTTCCATTTGCAAAATTAATCATAGGTACCAAAAAAAAAAAGACAAATGATGCTCTATTCAATTATATAACTTTAGGGAGTGGCATTTGTTTTCATTGAGAACAAATCATTTCACTGACAGGCACTGAACCCTAGACCTTGGGATTAAAAGGCAAGGCACCTTAACTACCAAGCTATAGCTCCACTAATTATATCCACTGGTTGAAAAATATCAAAGTGGACACCTTTGTATCCTTACAGGATATGTTCAGGCTAACACTGCAGTTCAATAACCGACTGAGTAGCCTGGTACACCTCTGTACATCAAGGCACTACCTGGTACAGACTGAACATGTACAGTAGGTATGTTGTCGGCAGGGTGCTAAGAGGGTACACCTTTGTACACCCAGACACCACTCACACACCCTGGTAGAGATTAAACATATAATTCTACACTGGTATTTATTCTGTACCTGGGCGTGAGAATATTATTGTACCTTTGTACAACCAGACACACCATTTCACACCCTGGTACAGACTGAACATGTACTGTACAACTATAACTACAGCTAAATTATCATCAGAACACATTTAGTTCGAATGCAAACCTGTCCTGCAGCTGGAGCTCAAACTTGCAGCCTAGATTAGAAGCTGACCCCTGGGGATACACACATGACAAGGTCAAGTTGGCCGCATTAAGGAGGATGCATTCAAAATCACTGTTAGCGCCAGATTACGTAAATGCTTGTGTTCTTAAGGATTAAAAATATTGATCTTTAAAAGAGAGGGTTGAATAAAATGTCATAGGACTAAATATAGGCTATAATATAAATGGGATCCCTAAAATAAATATAGCAAATAAAAATAAAATATGCCTTGAACCTTGTAAATAAAAATATGCTAAATAAAGAAAACACTGACGTAATAGGATGTTACTAGGCTAAAATAATACTTGTCAAATAAAATGTCCCTAGACTATGAAAATAGTAAAATGCAAAATTATTTGTGTCACTGAAGTGTCCTTAGAGCAACGTAATGACAAATTTTGGTATCAAATTCTGTGTTTAAATAATTGTAATTACATAATTCATACAGTTATAGTGCAATAATTCACATTATAGCAATATAATAAATAAGTTTTGGAATTTCTGTTTTGCTAATAATATAACAGACATTTTTCTAAGAAAATCATTAATTTGTCTGCGATCAAAAACAAGAAAAAAATTTGTTTGTTTTATTTTCAATTCCAAGCTAATAACTAATGGTCCCTAAATACAGAAAGCAATTAAAAGTTTAAATTTCATTGTTAAAGATAAGCTGACTGTGATGAATTTAAAAAAAAGGAAAACTTTGAAAAATATACTTCAAATTTTGAATAGCTTTTGTGTTTTTAAGTAAGTTATTGACTTATAATTGAATATTTTCATTGAAAAATATCTCCTTATTTAATACTTTGTTTCATGAACTTATTTTATTAAAAATTGTCAGAGGACAGAAAATAAAATGAAATTTTGTTTTATTTCATTTAATTTTGGCCAGATAGGATTACCAAAATTAAACTAAATCACTGTCTAGTGATAGTGATATGTACAAAATTATCAATGAAATCAGTCAAAAAAAGATAAAAACATTAATAATACAATGAAAATTACATGTATTGTAGCGTAAACGATTTTGCCAAAATGAAGGAGAAAATAAAATTCTAATTTTATTTATAAATTAAAAAGTGTAGTAATAGAGTAGTATGAGATTAATAACTGCTTTAAATTTATATAATTAAGGAAAATATATATATATATATATATATATATAATAATAAAAAAATATAACATTACATATTTTTTTTAATGAAATTTCCATTTTTTGTTGCTGAGGGTGAGTTAACTGGCCAAAAATAAAATTATATTTTTATTCAAAATCAACATTTTTGGCAGTCAGAGGGTTCACTATAAACCAAGTTTTAAAAAAATTCACGCAAAGTACTGTAGGCCTATTCTTACATTTTTTGAATCACCAAATCAATTTTCCTACCTCAGCCCCAAACATGGCAGGGCTGAAGTGGTCTCTGCCTCCATGGAACCCCTTTATTTTGAATTCCTGGGTCGGCCACCGTTATGCAACAATGAGGTGGAGAGAGAGAGAGAGATACACGGTAGCCCGTCGAAAGGCAAGTGCTTTAACAGATTAAATCAAGTTGAATATTTCCACATTACAGATTGCTTCAATTAAAGTCATGTGACCGTTACGCACTTCCACAGCAGGCAATTGCCCGTGATTGGTCATAGCGTTTGTGCCTGGTACTACAGGCTGGCATCCTATTCATCGGGGCCTTAGTGGGCTGTTCACAATCATACAAATCAAACAAAAACAATACCAGAATAGAACTGGATAAGATCGCTTTATCTAGGTTGACATTAAACTCTGAAAAATTAATATTAAAGATTGTACAATAAAAAGCACATTTTGGTTGGTAATATTATAGTGATTGATAATAATATGATAACAATGATAATGATGAAGATTATAATGATAATGGTGTTTGTATCTTGAATGCCAATATATAGGCAATGTCGTAAGGTTACAATCTTCTGTGCATATTCCTTTTCCTGGAGTTAATGTCTCTAAACATGGTTTTAACATCAGGCTTCCTACCACATTTTTTTTACAGAACTACTGATGTTTATTTTGATTCATTATGATTATTTCAAACTTAAGTTAAAAGTTGTTTGTTATTGTCTTAGGCTTTAACTGACTTTCTTTATCCGTTTCATGTTGCATAAAAGCACATTTATAATTGGCAATCCGGGTCAGTTGGTCAGGTTTCTTTTCTTTTTGTTTTATTGTTTGTAGCCCTAATTTAGGACTAGTTTAAAGGTTTATTTCCAAATCCAAATTTTACACCAATCTTGAAAGCGCCCTTTTCAAACATGGCGGATAAAAAAAACAAAAAAAAAAACAGGAGTACTCTAGTCCGTCAGTAGGTAACACTTGACTTTTGTTTTGGCCTGAGAGCCACAGCAGCAGTGGCAGCTCCAGAATTTTGCCAATAAGTTCGACAGGGAGTCAAAAGCAAGGGGCAACCTAAGGCCTCAGGTTAGGGCTCACAAGGTTAAATCCCCAGTGACGTAAATCGGAGAGAATTTATAGCTTAGAATGGTTAAAAACAAGACTAGGGAATACAATCACCATAAACTTTGACAGGCCAGCAAATAAAAATATTTTTAGTTTGTCAACCTCAAGTGGTGTCCTACAAGAGGGGTCTTGCTTCTTTCGAGGATGGGAAAAATTTCTCCCTCAACCCCTTGCTGACCTTGTCGCTGGGAGGCACCAAAAGTACATAGCCAAAACATGTGATGAATTAAGCAGTGTCCAAGAAGACAATATCTCTGCTCATTATTTTCAAAGAATCAAGGAATCTTTATTGTCAACAATACAACATGATACTGTACAATCAAAATTTGGATCCAGGAGCTTACTATGTTCTTCAACATGCTCATCTCTTCTAAAAGACCTTGTGTCAAAACATTTATTTCGCATTAATTTAATTTTATGTGCTAAGCTACAAGATAAATAAAATAAGTAGACAAAATGTACTGTACTGTCACAACTGATGGACGAAGTGACTCAAATATTCATCAGTGTTTTGCCCTGATCAGTGTTGCCAGGAATTGCGGTACTGCATTAGCAACCTCTTTAATTCAAGTGCGTTTAGCAGTGTTTAGTAAAGTTGTTTATAATAATAATAATAATAACAATAGTTTTCAATACAGTGCCCTACTGTATACTGCAATAGCTCTCAGAGTGCTACAGTATTATTAATATGTTGCCTGTTCAGCAAGGAACACTAATTCACACACAAAATACTAATATCATCATACTGATTATTTCCCATGGCATGTTTAGGAGACTTTTCTAGTATTTTTAGCAAACAAAATTGGGGGGGGGGGGGGGGGGGTTTATTAATGCAGTGCTTAGTGCAGGCTTCATCATTACAGTATGCTACTTTAAGTATGGTTTAGTGGTCACCAGTAGTAAACTTCTGTGTTTTTAGCCATGTTTTGTGCAGTCAGAGGTTGGTTTTGTAGATTATTATTCAGCCAACTGGTAAACGTTTTGTGTCTGCAAAATAAAACGCTGATTAGGCCTAGGCACTCTAGGTCAGCCTTTCAATAAATGAACACCATTCCATTCTATGCCTAGGCTAGGCTGTATATGATGTTTTTTCAAGTCATTAGACTCTATTCAAAAGGGGTAATGCCTCACAGTGTGTGCATAGCTGAGTTTTTATGGACAAATTTACGAGTAAAAATGTTTCAATTGGGAGAATACTGTAACCTTTTGTTTATATACAATTCAGCTATTGTATGCTTAGCAATGGTTAGTCATGCTTAGAGAGGTAAGGATACAACTTGTCAATTTATTGTGTCTTAACCAAACTGTGTTTAAGAGCATCTAGCACCAATACTGAGCATTTTCATTTGCAACACTAATTTCCGGAATACTCTAGAAGTTAATGACTTAATTTTTTTGCTATTTTAATAACGTACAAGTATTAGTGTGTGTGCTGTTTGTGAATGAAATCATTATCAAGATGGTGAATCTGGGGCCAGTGACTTTGTGTTCCGAGATTAATTTCTTTTAAAAATTTTAATAAAATGTACTTCTACTGTCGGCATACTGTACAAAAATTTAGCAAAGATGATATTTACAATTTAACAGTTCATGAGATTTATGAAATTAACTTAACTCTATAACAATTTTTAATACTCTAAATAGAAAGGCTAGAGTTGGAGGCCCATAAGCAACACCCAATCCCTGACCAATCCTAAAATGAATCCTAAGGGGGCTCCTGCAGGCACTGCTTGTACTGGGAACCAAATCGTACAGTACCTGTCTCTTATACACATCTTATAGCAAATAAAAATAAAATATGCCTTGAACCTTGTAAATAAAAATATGCTAAATTAAGAAAACACTGACGTAATAGGATGTTACTAGGCTAAAATAATACTTGTCAAATAAGATGTCCCTAGACTATGAAAATAGTAACATGCAAAATTATTTGTGTCACTGAAGTGTCCTTAGAGCAATGTAATGACAAATTTTGGTATCAAATTCTGTGTTTACATAATTGTAATTACATAATTCATACAGTTATAGTGCAATAATTCACATTATAGCAATATAATAAATAAGTTTTGGAATTTCTGTTTTGCTAATAATATAACAGACATTTTTCTAAGAAAATCATTAATTTGTCTGCGATCAAAAACAAAATATTCATGTGTTTTGCCCTGATCAGTGTTGCCAGGAATTGCGGTACTGCATTAGCAACCTCTGTAATTCAAGTGCGTTTAGCAGTGTTTAGAAAAGTTGTTTTTAATAATAATAATAATAATAATAATAATAATAATAATAATAATAATAATAATAATAGTTTTCAATACAGTGCCCTACTGTATACTGCAATAGCTCTCAGAGTGCTACTATTAATATGCTGCCTGCTAATTGCAGCACTAATTTACACACAAAATACTAATATCATCATACTGATCATTTCCCATGGCATGTTTAGGAGACTTTTATTCTAGTATTTTTAGCAAACAAAATTTGGGGGGGGGGGGGAGGTGGTGTTTATTAATGCAGTGCTTAGTGCAGGCTTCATCATTACAGTATGCTACTTTAAGTATGGTTTAGTGGTCACCAGTAGTAAACTCCTGTGTTTAGCCATGTTTTGTGCAGTCAGAGGTTGGTTTTGTAGATTATTATTCAGCCGAATGGTAAACGTTTTGAAACGCTGATTAGGCCTAAGCACTCTAGGTCAGCCTTTCAATAAATGAACACCATTCCATTCTATGCCTAGGCTAGGCTGTATATGATGTTTTTTCAAGTCATTAGACTCCATTCAAAAGGGGTAACGCCTCACAGTGTGTGCATAGCTGAGTTTTTATGGACAAATTTACCAGTAAAAATGTTTCAATTGGGAGAATACTGTAACCTTTTGTTTATATACAATTCAGCTATTGTATGCTTAGCAATGGTTAGTCATGCTTAGAGAGGTAAGGATACAACTAGTTGTCAATTTATTGTGTCTTAACCAAGCTGTGTTTAAGAGTATCTAGCACCAATACTGAGCATTTTCAGTTGCAACACTAATTTTTTTGCTATTTTAATAACGTACAAGTATTAGTGTGTGTGCTGTGTACTGTTTGTGAATGAAATCATCATCAAGATGGTGAATCTGGGGCCAGTGACTTTGTGTTCCGAGATTAATTTCTTTTAAAAGTTTTAATAAAATGTAATTCTACTGTCGGCATACTGTACAAAAATTTAGCAAAGATGATATTTACAATTTAACAGTTCATGAGATTTATGAAATTAACTTAACTCTATAACAATTTTTAATACTCTAAATAGAAAGGCTAGAGTTGGAGGCCCATAAGCAACACCCAATCCCTGACCAATCCTAAAATGAATCCTAAGGGGGCTCCTGCAGGCACTGCTTGTACTGGGAACCAAATCGTACAGTACTGTTTACATGCATTACTAATTAATGTTGAAAGAATTGATATAAATGAATTGAGCAGTACAAGGCATAACAATTAATCATTTAAACTCACATTGAGAAATCTTAGAAATTATGTAATTTTCTTTCATGATACAATTATTATTATGTAATAATTCAAGATTTAAGAATGTTTTATTGTCCCTTTTTTAAATTTGACTATTCTTCGCAACAGCTGGGTTACAAATATAAAAAGGATAAAATTACATGAAAATCACAAGATGAAACAACTTGTTACATTTAAATTCATGTAAAATTTTTACAATTGAAATAATACGCAAAAAGACAATAATAGATACAAAGATAGATGGGGAAGTACTGTAGCTTGGGGAATCTGATGTTTGCCTTTTAATCCAGGGTCCTACAGTAGGTTCAAATCCTGTAGGAAGGACAGTTCACTTCCCTAGTGTCACTAGGAACCTGCGGTTATCAAACATCTGGGACATGTGGCAGAACAGACCAGCTTCTGCAGCATCGTTCACCCTCATTACACATGGCTCAAATAAAATAAAATATACAGGTTCTCCATTCACTATTTAAATAAAATAATTATAATGATAATTAAAATCAATATTGTTACGATATAATAATACTTACTTTTTATTGTCTTTTTCACTATGTCTTTTAGAATCTTGCAGTTCCTTCTTTAACTTTGTATTCTCATGTTTAAGACGCTGCATTTCCGAGGACACGCCGCCATTTTCTTTATGGTTTGACTTTTGTTCACTCGGTCTAATCCCTGTAAAAGTCTTTCTACGTACATCATGAGGTGCATTACCTCCGCTTTCCGACAATATATCTTCAATGGACACGTGCACATCTCCGTCATCATAATCAGGAGTGTTATCGGTATCGGATTGTTTATCATTTTGGTACTTATCATGATGTGTGGTATTAGCCTTACTCTTACGGTTTACTTTGCGATCCTCGCGGGCAGTATTAGAACGTGCTCTTGAACCATGTTTATCGCTTTTATGACCTTTCGACCCTGATCCGTGAGAATGTGAAGTTGCCCGGGTGGTCCTGGGCACAGCATAATCTTGGTGGCTGGCTCCTTTTGGTACGGCGTAATCTTCACAGCCCGTATCTAGCTCGCCTTTCCTTCCAGCTGTGTTCGACTTGTTGCTTCTCTGGCTTTCCCCATCTTCAGACTTACGTGTTGGTGGCACATCGTACAGAAAATCAATGATCTCAGCTTGCTGTTGGGGAGCGTTTTGCTTGCTACCTCCATTTGCTCCATGATGCCCTTTCGATTCTTTCTCGGGAAGAACCGGCGGCTGCTGGGATGGGGGTTGTTGACGATTCTGCGACTGAAATAGAATTATACAAAATATCTAAGTAGTTGACCCATTAACAATACATGTCGTTTAATGTGGATCTGAGGACAAACATTATCACTTACAAACTGTCAAAAAAATCTCCTCTTACTTTGGGTACTTTGTGATGCTTGGGAGCTGAGCTCCCGCCAGCGAAGAACCTCCTAACAAAAGCCATCTTAGCACTGTGCTGGCTTTAACGGCAACTTGTTCGACAGCCTATCATGACTTAGGGCAACATCCTTGCTGGCAGGAAGTTTGAATTAGACTAATGACGCGAGAGGAAAATGCATTTTGACTCACCCGCATACCGGCTCTCTCCTGTATTTTTCACCAAACGCAATTGCTCTACACTCCCAACATTCAATAGAAAATGAAACAATCCAAGGCGACAGTCAAATTTTAAGTTTACCAAACACAAACTGTTCTAATTCTCTCAGTAAAATTTGACTACTCCTAAAACTGTGGCCTTCCCTGGCGCTTAGTTCGAGTGGCCCGAAAATTTGTCGCTAATGAAGAGATTTCCTGTCTTGGCCGCGTAACCTTCCCTAGGATGTTTCTTGTGACACCACACTACAGCTAACCTGTTTCATCTATACAAGATCTCCAATGTTTTCTCCAGAGGATTTTACAAAATTAAATCGTTCATTTCTGTCGCAAATTCAACTGGTGTTGCTAATGAATATTCATGAACAACAAGGCAGGTCAGACCTCAACATTTTGATTGTAATACAAATAGTTTCTAAAAAGTATATAATCTACTAGACAATTTAAATTTAGCAAAAAAAAAGTCTCAACATGTTAATTATTTTTTTGTCTGTGTTCCTATGTTGCTGCTGACATATCAGTAGTTTACATACATGTAATGCATTATTAACATTATAATACATTTAACAGAAATAATGTATAATGAAAATGTAATGAATAAATGTAATGTTAAACAATAAAAGGTCATGGTAATAAAAAACAATGTTTTTATCTTGAAAAAAACTTCTAGAAATAATCCCAATGAAATTCAATTTTGTCTAATTCCATTTCCTTTAAAATTTGTTTTTATGTTAGTATTGATTGATTTGATTGAATAAAAATAATGTTGTTGAAATGAAAAATAAAATTTATGTTTATTCGGAATATCCACTATCAGTAAGTCATGCCTTATAATTAATAAAAGGGAAATAAACAATGTTGAAACAAAGTAGCTTAAGTCAAAACTAGCACCATTGCAAATTGAAAGAGAAAATGCTAAATTCAGATTGTCTATCAAGTAAAGTTATTTAAAGACAAAAATATTAATAAGTCACAATCATATAGATGCATGTACAGTTTATTAAGGTTGCTATTGCTAATTGCTAACAGTTTGCAGAATTTAAAAAGATTAAGAGTAATCAGGTAGAGCTCAATAAAAATGATTTTTTTTTCTTTTAAAATGCTTTCATCTAATTGTCTTTGTAAAGTGGTCAAAGATTATTAGATGAGGAAGGAAATAAGAAAATATTGATAACAGCATTCCAATATCAAAATAAATGATTTCAAAGAAATGAAATTATATATAAAATAGAAACAGGAGAAGCTGTTAAAAATAGTAATGATTGTAAACTCAGTCGGCAAAACTGTTGGTGGTTACTTTGTGTGTGCTGAACCGTGGAGATCCTTTCACTGGTCTAATTCCATCGCACGACCAACCCCCATCAAAATAACAGAGGGGAGATGGCGGCTTTTCGGACACATCCTGACACAAAACAGAAATTCACCAACAAATCTAGCTGTACAATTCTACTTCACCGACATAAAACACAAAAAGTACAGAGGTAGACCTAGATACACACTCCCAGTCACTCTCAACAATGACATAAAAAAACTAAACCAACCTTGGATGAGACTGAACAACTTAAATGATGTCGAAAAAGTTTAGAAAGTTGGCCAGCACGAGAAGTAAATGGAAACATATTGTTCTATGAACAAGGCAGAGAAATCAGACGATTACTCGGCGAAGAGGCATTAAAGTAAAGCAAAGAAAGGTCTCTCCGTGTTTCAGCTAGAAGGCTAAAATACAGGTTTTCTTGAAAGAATGTCAAAGGAGGCTTGAATAAAATTCAAGTCTTATCATTTAGCAAAATTATTCTATCAAAAATATGTAGAAAAACAAGAGAGTTAAGATGGTGTCCTTGTCTAGAAGAACATTTCCAGAGTCTGAATCAAACTATAACCACCGACCAATCAGAGCAGCTGGGCAAGGAATACATGCTTGTCACACAAACACGAGTTGCCCCACAAACGCTATTTTTTTTTATGGGACTTTCTTTGCAACAATGTCTAAAGGGGCGGGGCTTACTGGATAGTAAAATTACATGATCTGCAAAATAATTTTGATATATACAGATAGAAGCAATTTTCCATAATAATAATATTAATTTTTAACAATTTTGTAAATATCATTCAGTTTTCTGTATTCGTATGTTTGGTCACTGTTTGTGCAGAGGTCTCTCTTCATGATATATTTACTAACGCCAACATATGTATGTCAAAGGCTGACGAGTGTCTGTAATTAGACGGCTACAACTACCAGTACCAGTATTACTGAATTGAAATAGTCTTTATCAGGCCTGTAGCCAGGGGGGGGTTTTTATGGTTTGGGTGAACCCCCCCTTTTCTAGCGAACCCTCTGTTTACTAGCGAACCCCCTCGAATTTTTTAAAGAATCCCACTTGGATGGAATGTCTGTTTTTAACTTAGGCCCTACCCAGCATTAAAAATCCAAATTTAGCACCTAATTCATTATTTGGTCATCCGTTTTTAAATTGTAGCAATTGATACAAGCCTACATTCATAAAATATCTCAGCTTTAGAAGTTCGGAGATTTAAATTGAACGCAACTCCAGCAAACCATGACTTTATGATGGCTCACTAAAGGATGGCAAACATCGATAAAAACCCGGCTGCCATCTCAAGTTTCACTGGCCTTTGGCTGAATGTTTGTAAGAAATGTACCAACCGGTAACGAAATCGGTCGCCGTCTACCTAGAGTAAATGGTGCCACCAAACGAAACTAAAGTTTTGCGACTTAATCAACCAATGCAGATAAAGTTTTGCGACTTAATCACCTGATTGTGGATTGTGTGGTTAGTAAATTCCATTGCCACACTGTCCATAGCGCACACTGATGGAGCATTTTTGGGAAATTGAATCTCCTTTTTTCCATCCCAAACAAAATATTATTAATAAATCAACATGGTCCATCTCAGTCATCATAGCCAGTCACAAAATTAGGATAGGAAGTTTGTTTTCAACAGCAGACACACACAACTGAACGGAGTGCATCAATTGGAGTTTGTTAATTTTTAGTGATAAAGAATCATAACGTAAAATAACTGACTTTTTTTCGTCGGCTGTTGCAAAGAAGAAAACGACAGATAGTCCTTTAAGGTGGGTTATTGATTACAAAATTAGCCTAGCCTAGATGTTGACTAGCTAAGTTCGGTCCTCGCTCATTTAGAGACAGAATTATACCCTGACGACAACAAACTAGTGTAGGCCGAGGCCTAAGTACAGTAGAACGTACTACTAGGCCTAGGCTTTTGTTGTAAAAGTTAAAGTGCATGTACAGGATGCGCCATAGGCCTATATTAAAAAAAAAACACATTTTGTTTATTATTATTGGTTGGCCTGAGACCTAGGCAGGCATGCCAGCTTTACCGTCAAAGGTCCTGAGATTCAACGATGACGTCAGTGCACGTTTACAAACGCCATTGATTGGCGTTGAATTTCATTTTTTTTTTTATGAAAGATAGAAATTATTGAACATTTATCTATATAAAAACAAGATTAATATTGTATAAATTGTATTTTTAAAGATTCATAATATAATTCATATTTCATTTGGTAGACAATAAATATTCAGTAATATATACTAAAAACGATTATTAATTCCGAAATGTGCATCAAATCTCAGCTATTATTTATCAGTATGTATTATGTTAAAGTCTTAAAATAATAATTTCGAATATGCCTACAGTAGTACATAACAAATAATTGTAATTAAAGTTTACGTTCCCATGATGTTAGATGACGTATTGAATATGATGCTATATTTTTGGCTCTGACTTCATTTAATGATGGCCCTGGCCCTGTCAGTAATGACAATATATGTAGATTTGTAGAATATATGTAGTAAAATAGTAGGACTACTATTATTTTCAGTGTACAAAATGAGAATAAAGAAGTAGTAGAACAAGAGGTATAGGAAGAGGAAGAGGAGGAAGAAGAAGAAGAAGAATAGCCTTTTTTTGTTTTATAATAATAAATGTGTTGAGTATATTGATATTGATTATGCGATGAGGGGTTTTTTTAAATATTTTTCTGTGTTATTTAAACATGCCAATTCTCAGAAAATATTTTTAATTATATTATATTACCACCTTTTTATTACATAGATCTTTTTCAAAACATAACTGCTTTTATAACATTATATAGACACATTAAACACAAAAAACTGCTCTGGCTTCGGGGGTTTCGCACCCGACCCCACCGTGGCCCTTAAGCAGGCCCTGGATCATACGCCCAAAGAACCCCCCTGGCTACAGGCCTGTTTATATTTACAGTATTTAAAATAAAGATCTACTTATTCATAGCAGTAGGTTTGATTACATTTTTTTTTTCTTAAATCTCATTTTTTTACACTGACAGGGACATGTGCGCAAACATTGAAATTATTTATTTCTAGACTTTTGCTACAATATTATTCTCTTATTTTAACCACTAATATTGACATTTTTCACAATAGTTTGTCTACATTCCGTTCTATTATTAATCATTTGAATAGGTGAGATTTTTGTACTCTTTCGTCTGTATATTTGATATATTTAAATTTTATATATTTTACCAGCCTGTTAGTGGCGATGATTCGCTGTTGGTCTGTTGAAATGAAATAAATAAATAAATAAAGATGCGCCTTTTCTCTCGGCAACAGCTTTGAACACTAGAATAAGAACATGTTTATAATTATAAATAAGCATTGAAATATTAATAAATGCAAGAGAAAGACTGGTATACCTCAAGCTCATCATTTCTTTCTGAAGTGTTTTCCTTTTCCTTCACCCCCAGGCGATGGTCATTCTTTACAAAATTTTGAAAAGAAAATGGATTTTCTTCTTCTATTTCTGATCTTTTATCAACCACTGCAATAAAAAAAGAAATTATTCCTATCAAAATTTCTTACCTTTTTTTTTCGCATATTTTTTTTTTCCCAACATGAAAATGATATGAAGTTTGATTGCTGTGGCTTATGGCTATTCTAATTTCAACAACAAATTGCACGATGACATTTAGCTATCAAGGAACACTGACAATTACTGTAGTACGATTCATAATGTTTAAGATCAGCGATACAGGTACAGTATCCAATCAGGAAATTAGTACTTTAAACTAGAACTGATATCCTTTGTTATGACATCATAGTAGAATGTCCTAATCTAATATAATTGCTTAATCATTTGACCGAACAGAAGCAGACTCTACCTCTGCAGAAAATGCAGATTCAAGGTTAGTTTCCTGTGTTTCTGTCTTTCCCCTGTGCAGCCTTGAGTGTCCTTGTATGACAATTTGACCCTGTAACATGCAATGATTACTAGTCGCTAAACATTAATAAATACACCGCAAAAATCATATTAAAGAGAGCTTGGAATATGCAACAGTCAATACTTGTATACTGTTAGTATGTTCCGTAAATTGGTTATTTCGTACGCATTAAGTTAACAGGGATTAAGTTTATTAGTATTTTGTAGAGGGCGTGCTGGAATTTGAACTTCTACTTTGTAATGCAAGGGTCGAGAGTATAATTTTGATAAGATCTTTGATACACCGAGCATTTATTGGGCTTGACCCAGTTACTGAGTATCAGTGTGAGGAGCACATATGCCGTGGTACAAATTTTGTACAACATAAATGCAAAACTGAATGCCATTGCAGCATGTTTGAAGGTGGAAAAGGCAAGGGGAAAGGTGGAAGGCACATGGCCCATGTTGGGACTCACTACCAGGACAAATATGGATGCATTTTGAGATCAGCAGGGACAACTATCGATGGCATGTTCATCAGCTGCAGTGGAGATCATCTTTGAAGCAGTCATATGTAAGGCAGAGCAGGGGAAAATCCAGAGAAAAAATCTGGGTAGGGATCATGGAAGGTGCAAAGCACTGTGTGTGGGGAGGGGAGATGCTTGAGATTTTTGTTTCTAAATACCTGACCATAGATACATGGTGGTACATGGAATTTAAATTGAAAATTAGCTTGTTTTGGAGTACCGGTTTCCTCTCACTCCTTGATTCTTTTCTTCTCTCTTGTTTTCGCACGTTTTTGGGGGAGGGGGACTGTCTCCATGGCACTTTTCCCTGGATCCACCCCTGCAGAGGTAAGTATATGTAAGTTAGGTAGTGGCAGTACACCAGAGAACAGTATTGGGAAAATATAATGTAGCTTGCAGTATAGAAGCCAAGTTCGACGATTTTGTTGAGGCGTCAGACGACACGAGGTCCAGAACTGTCAACAGGAAGAAATTTCCCTCTGCCCTCCTGTTCACTGGTAGTAGGCCATAGACCCACCGATAATTCTTACCTGTAGGTGGGGATTGTAGCTCAGTACTATCAGCTCTTTCACTTTTTCCACATTCTTGGTTATTTTGTTTGCAGTTCGATTTGGCCAACTTCGACTTTTCTATTGTTGGAGAAGCTTGCTCACTTGCAGTGGAATTTCGCTTCACAAAATGGTTGAAGGAGAATGGATTGATCTGTTCCTCCCCATCATCAACTTCCATTTCTCTGCTACTTGGAAATTGGTGATTACATCAGTGACCAAGGATGTGAATCATGTCTTTTCGTGTTGGCCAGTTTTTCTTAAATCAGGAAAAGTGCAAAGAAATCTATAAGGCAGGGATGTAGTTATAGTGGTGGGGAAAAGATGAGGGGGCACCCAGCTTTAAAGTTCTTCACCCAGTCTATAGCTAATTTCATGGCCCTCCACCCACCTTTATTAACCCTCCTGCCCATCTTGGGTGTTATTATTTAAAGTTACCAATGTCATCGCCCTTCACCACCATTATTTTAACCCCATTGGTTATGCTTAAAATCCACTATTAGTGTTTACAATGTCATCCACCCTTAAAATGTCTACCAACTCTTAGTTTTCTAAAGCTACAACCCTAGCTATAGTAAGGTTTAGAATAGTTAACCAGACTATTGGCAATCATATTATTTTATCACATGATTAAGTACACACAAGTATTTGCTGATCACAATCATGGGACCTTATAATACTCAATTAGCAAGAAGCATTTGTTCTGCTCTTGGCTTTTGTCCTAAAAAATTGACAGAATCATTCCAAAAGCCAAATGGGTGTAATTTCATCACATAGGCCAAGGGTTTCAATTAACTCTATTAAAGTGGCATACTGTCAGTCAGTGGTGGCTCCAGAAATCTGCCAACAGGGGGCCCGACATGTCAGTCAGGAGGTTAAAAAAAAAACAAAGGGGCCCAATAGAGCCTCGGCTTGGATTCCGGAATAAAAATCCCTGTTAAGTTTCACAGGGAGAGTTTTTATGGCTTAGTTTGTGCCCAAATTGTGATTCTAGGCCACAATATTAAGAACTGGCAATCAAAATAAGGTTATTTGTGTAGGCAAATCATTACTTTCGTAGTTGGAAGATTTTTTTGGTGGGGCCCAAGCCTGCTCGGTAGGGGTGTGGGGGGGGGGATTTTCAATGTTACCACCACTGTAAACAAACAATAGGAAATGGAAAAGATATCACAGACATGTCAGTAGACCTACTATACATCGCAGTCGTGGCACCAGACAATGGAGGAGTGAATTATTACCTACAAAAGGGTTGAGGATTCCGTTGGGGAGGACGGGGACATCACAGAACCCATTGGAGGGGGTACAGGAAGCACAGACCAAGGCTCTGACTTGCAAAAGTTGTGCACAAGAATTTTTTCTCCCCAAACAACTGTTTTCAGGGGCGAATCCTGATATGTCCGAAAGGGGGCTGAAAGTCGGGCCAATCGAGACACTAGCTAGGGGTCTGGGGGAATTTCGGCCGCAAAATTTTTGTTTTCCAGATGCCCGAAGTTAACCTCAGGGACCTTTCGGTTGATCAATCATTTCTTTTTTTTTTTATTTTCCAAAATCTTCCACTGGTTTTGAGTTCCCCGATTGGAAGTGGGAGGTTGAAAGGGCCAGCTATGATCCAAAATGGTGCTTCCATCACAGGTGTCCCAAAGGGCACAATCCCGCTCTTCCAATTCCAAACCAATATCCAATATCATGTTTTGTTAAACATGCATGTCCTAGAATACGGGACCAACATCTTAACATCCCACCAAAGAACATCATTCATAATTAGAGTGGCGTAATTTTACCAAAGACCAGCTGGCAGAGTCAAAGAGATTGTTTACTCGAAAAGAATTTCATCTGATTTACTGTTCCTACAGAAACAAACGGACCTTTTGGTTGATCAATCATTTCTTTTTCTTTTTTTTTTTGATTTTCCAAAATCTTCCACTGGTTTTGAGTTCCCCGATTGGAGGTGGGAGGTTGAACGGGAGGGCTATGATCCAAAATGGTGCTTCAATCACAGGTGTCCCAAAGGGCACAATCCCGCTCTTCCAATTCCAAACCAATATCCAATATCATGTTTTGTTAAACATGCATGTCCTAGAACACGGGACCAACATCTTAACATCCCACCAAAGAACATCATTTATAATTAGAGTAGCGTAATTTTACCAAAGACCAGCTGGCGAAGTCAAAGAGATTGTTTACTCGAAAAGAATTTCATCTGATTTACTGTTCCTACAGAAACAAACGGAAAACATTATTTTATAGGCAATTAATAAAGAAACTATATGAAGTAAATAAAAAACCTAGTTTACAAGAAAGATACTGTACAGAAATTAGTGTAAATTTAGAAACAATTAGCTGGGCCTAGGGATCGTCTCAATCTGTTGTATTAATATGTGATGTAGCCCAGAAGCAGTTACTGTAGGCCTAGCAGGGGTCCCAAGTCTCCCGGAACTCACAGAAATCTCCTGGAAATCATGGAGGCCACCCGCACACCAGCAAACAAAAATCTCCTGGAAATTAACCAATATCCCACAAATCCATAATACGTGCAAGTTTTTACTGCTTTTATCAATTGTTTGATGGAAGTCATTTGCCAAAGTGTATCACAAATGTGCAGCAAAATAAAATTAAAGTTACGAAAGCTCATTAACCAAATCGGTGGCGGTGGATTCACAGGGAAAGCTCCCCCCCCCCCAACAAGTTTTAAAAACTAAAAAAATGGAGAAGATAATCATATTTAAATTTAAGTCTGAGAGTGCCACTTCTAGCCATCTAGGCCTAGGTGCCATAATCATAAAATTTTTCTTACCTCAGCCCCAATCATGATGGGGCTGAGGTGGTATAC